GCCAATGGAAGATATTTTGAGATCTACAGTATTTGAAAAAGCCTATTTTCTCTGTTGAACCTTTTTTTTTTTTTTTTCTTTTTTGGAAAGGAATGTCCTGTTTCACTTTGTAATGAGAAGTGCAAGCCAGGTTACCGCAAGACCAAGATCGAAGGGCGATCGTTTTGTTGCTATAACTGCACTCGATGTCCAGAGGGAAAGATCACAAATCAGATAGGTAAGAGATTCCAGATTTATGTAGTTTCTTTTACACATAAGCTGTTTCCTCTCTACTGATGGGTGAAGTGAAAAAAAGGAAATAAAAATGGACAGTTTATTACTTATTAACAAAATCTACACTAACAAATCATACCATGAGACTAATTCGCGACACACTTATTTATCTTTTTAATCTGAAAGACTAAGCAGGGTGGGTTCAAAAATATATCCTTTTTTAACTTTCTATATTTCATTTATCAGATCGAGATGAATGTTTCCAGTGCCCAGAAGATCAATATCCAAACAACAAGCAGGACTTATGTGTGCCAAAGGATATAAGTTACTTAACTTATGAAGAACCTTTGGGGATCAGTTTAGTGACCTTGGCTCTTGTGCTTTCTTTTATCACAATATTGGTGCTGGGAATCTTCAGGAAGTATCACAACACTCCAATCATCAAAGCCAACAACCGCAGCCTCTCCTATACCCTCCTCCTCTCCCTCCTCCTCTCCTTTCTTTGCTCTCTACTTTTCATTGGTCAACCCATGAAGATGACTTGTCTCCTTCGACAGACTTCTTTTGGGATCATCTTCACTGTGGCTGTTTCTTGTATGTTGGCCAAAACTGTCACCGTGGTGTTTGCGTTCATGGCCACCAAACCAGGATCAAGGATGAGGACATGGGTTGGGAAAAGCCTAGCCCTTTCCATTGTTCTCTCCTGCTCCTTTATTCAATTTCTTCTTTGTACTGTGTGGTTAGCAACCTCACCCCCTTTCCCAGATATGGATAAGCACTCCTTCATTTCTGAAATTGTTGTGGAATGCAATGAAGGGTCAGATATCATGTTTTATAGTGTTCTATCTTTTATGGGTTTCCTGGCTATAGTCAGTTTTATTGCAGCTTTCCTTGCTAGGAAGTTACCAGACACTTTCCAGGAAACCAAATCTATCACATTCAGCATGCTGGTTTTTTGTAGTGTCTGGTTGTCCTTTGTCCCAGCTTATGTGAGCACCAAAGGCAAATACATGGTAGCCGTGGAGATCTTCTCCCTCCTGGCCTCCAGCACTGGGCTTCTGGCTTGTGTCTTTTTCCCCAAATGCTACATTATCGTCATGAGGCCTCATCTGAATAAAAGGGAGCATCTCATAAAGAGAACTGTTTAAGCAATCTTGCCTTTTGTTTTTGTCCAACATGGGAATAGCACAATGAGATAAATCCCTTAAGGCATCAATTTTGAGAGGTACATTAAAGGTCAAATAGTCATTAGCAGAACAAAGAAAGAGAGGAATCACAGTTTATATTAAAAAACACCTGAAAACAAAACAAATATACACAGACGAAGGCTGGAAGGGTCTTGATGATTGAGATACAAACAGTGTTAAAAACAATATTACTGATTTCGATCTATGCACCAAACAGAAACCAAAATGAGTTTTTTTAAAAAAATACATGATAGAGTAAAAGATTTGGAATATGAGAATATTTGTATTATAGGTGATTTCAATGCAATTACAGACATGGAAAAAGATTACCAGAGTAATAAGAAAAATAAAACTAAGAAAAAGACACTTCCAGTTACCTTCAAAGAGATGACACAGCAACTACATCTGCAAGACGCATGGAGGGAGGTAAATAAAGAAAAAAGAACAGTATAGATTCTATTCTAGCCCACATCAATCGTGGTCTAGAATAGACATGGTCTAGATGATAGGATGAAAGGATATCAAAGAAAGAGAAGATGGATGATGAACAAGGAAATATTAAAAGATAAAGATTATTCACAGATGATTGAAAAAGAAATGAATATATTCTTCAAGATAAATACAAAAGAAGACTGAAGCTATCATCACACTTATTCCAAAAGAAGAAACAGATCAAACACAAATCAAAAACTACAGGCCAATATCATTATTAAAACGTAGATTACAAATTATTTACACTGATTATCACAGAGAGACTAAAATGAGTAATTAATGAGTACATTCACCCAGATCAGAATGGCTTCCTTCCAAAAAGGCAAATAAAAAACAATATGAGATTAATAATTGATGTTTTGGAATACTATGAAAAAAATTCAGATAAACAATTGGCATTATTTTTTTTTGGACGCACAGAAGGCCTTTGATAACCTAAATTGGAAATTCCTCATATTACGATTGGAAAACATGAAATTTGGCGACAAATTTTTAAATATGATTAAGAAGATTTACTCCTCCCAAACCACAAAAATAATGATTAATGGAGGCATGACAGAACACTTTACAATATCAAAAGGAGTGAGACAGGATGCCCCCTACCCCCCTATTGTTCATATTATCTCTAGAAACATTACTAAATGAAATTAGAAGAGACAAAGAAATAAAAGAATTGAAAGTCAAAAAAGAGGAGTATAAGCTCCAAGCCTTCTCTGACGACATGGTTTTTATTATAGAACAGCCAATATTAACAGGAACCAAATTATTAGCAACAATAGAAGAATATGGAAAGGTAGTTGGACTTAAAATTAACAAACAAAAAATAAAGGCATTAACGAAAAAACTTACAAACCAACAAGAGAAGGAATTAGAAGATAAATTGGGAATACAAATGTCAAAAAAAGATAAAATATTTAAGAATTTGGCTTACTAACAAAGGATCATCAATTAGAGAAGATAACTATAATAAACTGACAAGACAGATAAAAAAGGATTTAGAAATTTGGAGTAAGTTACAGTTATCATTCCTTGGAAAGATTGCCTCGATTAAAATGAATGTACTACCCAGAATCTTATATCTGTTTCAAGTAATTCTGATAAAACCGGGGAAGCATTTCTTCAAAGATTTTAACAAAATGATTGCAAATTACATCTGGCAGGGGAAGAAAGCAAGGATCAAAATAAAGCACTTACAAGATACAAGAGGGAGAGGAGGATTAGCACTACCGGATTGGGAAATGTACTATAAAGCAGCATCACTGATTTGGATTAAGGACTGGATAGAACTCAAAAATAAAAGAATACTGACATTAGAAGGTTTTGATTTACAAAGAGGATGGCACATATTTCTTTGGGAGGGAAAAGACAAACAACATGGATATTTCCAACGACATATTATCAGAGAAGCACTGTTCCAAACTTGGCAGGAGATTAAAAAAAACACATTACGATAAAATTCCAGAATTTCTATCGACTATGGAGGCCCAGATCTACCCCAATGCTATGGATATTGACAAAATGAAAACCTATAAAGATCTGTTAAACAATCAAGGGGAATTAAGATCAAGACAAGAACTGAAAGAACTGGGTACAGACATTGATTGGTGGCCATATTTACAAATAAAATCTAGGTATAAGACAGATTTGGTACAATTTGGATTCCAAAAAGGGCCATATGAATTAGATAAAATTTTACAAGGGACAGATGATAAATTGATAACAAAAACTTATAATTATCTATTAAGATATAAATTAGAAGAAGTGGTTAAAGAAAATATGATAATTTGGGTGAAGAACTTCGGATATAACATTGAATTGGAAAAATGGGAAAAATTATGGAATGTAAATTATAAACTAACAATGTCTGTATCCTATAAAGAGAATATGTACAAAATGTTCTTTTATATATATATATATATTTACTTTTTTTATTTTTTTAATTACTAACATTACAAACAACATATACAATACTTCACCCTGTGCTATACATAAGAAAGGAAGATTTGGTTCTTCGGATATATCCTCATGATCGCCAAAATCCACGTTCTCGGGGTACAGGTACCGAAGCATCCAATTTTCCCAGTGCATAGTCCACGAATGGTTTCCAAATTTTCCAGAAAATATCTTCTTTATAGTCACCATTTCTAATTTTAATATCACATGTCATTTTATCGTTTAGAGCTAATTTCCACATTTCACAATACCATTCTTCTATTCTAAAATTCACATCTAATTTCCAATATCTGGCTATTATAATTCTACCCATTATAATCATAATTCTAATCAATTCTTTCTCATATTTTGTTGGTTCTATTTCCTTAATTATCAACAGTAATATAGTTTCTGGTCTCAATATTATTACTTTCCCCATCATTTCAAATATCATTTCCTCCAATTGTTGCCAAAACTTTTTAACTTTATCACATTTGTACCACATATGTTCATAAGTCCCTAATTCCATATCACATCTCCAACATTGTTTACTAATTTTGTTATCCATCAATGACAATCTTAATGGAGTCAAATACCATTTCCAAACAACCTTATAATTATGCTCTTTAATCCTTACAGATAACGTCTTCATAATTCTACTCTTCCAATTCACATTCCAATCTAAATCTGATATTTTAATATTAAGTTCTTTTTCCCAATTCATCTTCATTACCCTTTGTGGTTTTCCATCAAAATTTATAATCTTATATATCTTACTAATGAGTCCCTTTAGCCCAATTTCATCTTTCATAATTTGGAATACTAAATGTTCAAATTCAGTTTTACTTCTACTTATCGAACAATTGTCCCTTACATTCTTAGTCCATTTTTCTATCTGTATTTTTTCAAACAAGCCTAAACTCAATTTTTCAATGATTTCTTTTTTTCTTCCTTCCTTACTTCTAAAAGCATGCGCAAGATGGCGGTCGCGTGGTGAAGTGCTGCGGTGAGATGGAGGACTTTTCGGGGCTTTAGGGGGTACTACAGGGGAGCCCGACCATCAGCAACCCCTGGTTTAGTCAGATGGGTCCGGGACGAGGGTTTTGAGACCTTCCTGACCCCTGGACGTTCCCGGAGTCGGAAGCGGCATGGGAGAGTGGAAATTGTGCTGCTCCGATGCTGCCGATGCTGCTGAGAGAGCCGAGAGCCGAGAGCGGAGGCCTGCTGGAGGGGAACAGAGAGCGGAGCCAAAAGCTGAGGCATGGTGGCTTATCGGGCGAGAATCGAGAGAGGAGAACTGAGAATGGAAGCACTGCTGGAGTGGAGAAGGGTGAGAAAAGAGAGCGGAGCAGCACAGAGAACGGAGATATGGTGGCTTATCAGCACGGTGGCGGGCTCAGTCAGTGGAGCTCGGGGCGAGGGTTTTTTAAGACCTCCCTCGCCCCTGGATAAGCCCAGAGGCATTGGCAGAGAAGATAAAGGAGGAAGAATGGCTTTGGGGCAGCGAGTGGTGGCAGCCCGTTGAATTTCCACCTAACCCACTCAGAAACTGAGAGGAGTATAAATGGGTCTTGGGATTGGAGAAGAGAGACCACCCCCCTCGGAATATCCTGGTGGCTGCAGAGGACCTGGAGGCCTCCTGTGACATTTAATGGAGGCTGGGGTCTGGAAGAACTGAGGAAAATAGGGCTGGTGGGTGACAGAGGGTTTTCCCTCGTATGGATACCAGCCCTTTTTCCTCCCCCTCCCGGGTACTGTGTCCGCCTAAATGGGCTCATTATTTGCCCTGAGTGAGTCCTCTCTCTCCCCCCTTTCTTCCCCTTTCCCCTTCTTCCCCCTCCTTTCTCCCCCCCCTTTTTTTCATCGGGACTTACTCGGATGTGATCTTGAGTATAAGACTATGCCAAGGATTTCCCATCTTTGCCCCTGAAGTGACTCACTGACTGACTGATAGACTGATAAACTCTTCCTCTGACCATGGGTCAGCCAATTGATGCAACTGTTGAGGGGTCCTCTATTACATCATGAGTCTCATCTGTCGGAGAAGTTTTTTCGATCTACGGCCCCTTGGGGGCCCTGCCGTGAGAGGGTGGGCCAGAGGCCGTTCCCATTGGATGAGATAATCAGGACCCTCCTACTGTTGTGGGAGGACAGTAGAAATATCAATAGTACATCAATGAACAAATGGCTGTGTTACATTTTTTGTGAAGTCCCCTGTTTGAGCTCCGTGCCTCCATCGCTGTATCTTGGAGATGTACACGACTGCGGATCTTCTTGCGCTGCAAGATTCCCCCCTCTCACAGATGTGGCCCTCATCGTTATCGAGGGCCCACCTCAATGACGGGCTTTGGGACCCAGAGAGGTGGCATGTGAAAACTAGGGGGTTGAGGGCTTTTTTATCAAACTTTTTAGTTAAATTTTTAAGGGGTCTCAGGGAGGGGGGAGGGTCAAATTAGAATTCAGGTTGTGGGTTTGGGGGAAAACCCACAAGGGGGAGGGTCGGGGTTGGGTCTGGCCGCGAAGCACGGTGGGGGGGTGGGCCCGGGATCGAGGGGGGGGTTAGAGCTCATCCGGATAGTGTTTTCAATATCAATACTGTGGGTGGGAGAGGTAGATATGGCGGGAGCAGGGGGCCATATCGTGTTAGGGGAGCGCGCACTTGCTGTTTACGAGCAATGGCGTGCTCCGGCCCCCAAAACTCCACCCATCTCGCAGGTTGCATAGACTCTCAGGGCCCGGGCCTTTGGCTGATGCTGTGCAATGCCAGGTCCGTAGTAAATAAAGCCCCCCTCATTTGTGATCTTATTCAGGAGGGGGGGCGGACCTGGCAGGTGTTACGGAGACCTGGTTGGGCCAGGAGGTGGTGTTCCCCTCATTGAAATGTGCCCTCCAGGTTTCCTTGCTTTCCATCAGCCGAGGTCACAGGGGAGGGGAGGGGGGGTAGCGGTTATCATTAAGGAAGGTCTGAAACCGAGGGAGGCCACTGTCCCTCAGACGACCGGCTGTGAATCCCTCCTTGTGAAATGGGGCCATGGGGTTCAGATGGGTTTGCTAATCACGTACCTGGCTCCCTGCCACGTGGCAGCAGCCCTGCCCGAGCTACTCAACGTCATCGCCACAGTGGCGGTTGATATCCCCAGGCTTATGGTCATGGGGGATTTCAACCTACCGTCCATGGGCGAGGCGTCTGAGGTGGCTCGGGAGTTCATGGCTTCCATGACAGCTATGGACCTGACCCAGTTAATTCATGGTCCTACCCACATGGGGGGAAACACGCTGGATCTGGTTTTTGTCTCTGGACAGTGGTTGAGTGATCTCGAGATAGGGGATATAGTCACTGAGTCCTTGTCATGGTCTGATCACTCTCTCCTTCATCTCGACCTTCGAACCGCTACACCCTGCCGCAGGGAGGCGGAGCCGGTAAGATGGTTCCGCCCCAGGCGCCTGATGGAACCTGATAGGTTCCAGATGGAGCTTGGGCCATTCCCTGAGGCTCTGGCACACGCCTCGACTGGAGACCTAGTGGCCGCCTGGGATAGGGCGGCCGCTGGAGCTCTAGACCGGGTCATGCCTTTGCGGCCTCTGACCCGGCGCCGATCTCATTTAGCTCCTTGGTTTACTGAGGAGCTGAGGGAGTTGAAGCGCCGGAAAAGACACCTAGAGAGTAGTTGGAGGGCCAGTCGTTCTGAATCTGACCGGACACTGGTAAGATCTCATATTAGGAATTACCTAGTGGCAATAAAAGCAGCGAAATGTAGTTACTTTGCTGCTCTTATTGCATCATGAGATAATTGCCCGGCCGCCCTGTTTAGGGTGACCCACTCCCTGCTCCACCAGGAAGTGCGGGAGGACCCCTTGGAGGGTAGAGCCAAGGATTTTGTTCAATATCTGTATGACAAAATCACTCAGATTCGGGAAGATCTGGACTCTGACTGGGTAGTCTCAGGGGGAGGGACTGGAGCAGGTCTTGAGAATGTTATCTGGGATGAGTTTGATCCTGTGACCCCTGAGGATGTGGACAGGATTCTGGGTAGACTGAACGCGACCACTTGTTTATTGGACCTGTGTCCCTCCTGGTTAGTGCTGGCTTCTCGGGAGGTGACACGAGGCTGGTTCCAGGGGATTATAAATGCTTCGTTGGGTGAGGGTGTCTTTCCTGCCACCTTGAAAGAGGCGGTGGTGAGGCCTCTCCTCAAGAAGCCTTCCCTGGACCCGGCAATGTTGGTAAATTATCGTCCGGTCTCCAACCTTCGTTTTGTGGTGAAGGTTGTTGAGAGTGTGGTCACGCAACAGCTCCCCCAGCACCTGGATGAAACGACGTATCTGGATCCGTTCCAGTCGGGCTTCAGGCCCGGGTACAGCATGGAAACGGCGTTGGTCGCGTTGGTTGATGATCTCTGGAGGGCTCGGGACAGGGGGTGCTCCTCTGTCCTGGTCCTGTTAGATCTCTCAGCGGCTTTTGATACCATCGACCATGGTATCTTGCTGCACCGGTTAGAAGAGTTAGGGGTGGGAGGCACTGTGTTGCGGTGGTTCTCCTCCTTTCTCTCTGACCGGTCGCAGTCTGTGTTGACAGGGGGACAGAGGTCGACCCCGAGGCCCCTCATATGTGGGGTGCCATAGGGGTCGGTCCTCTCGCCTCTCCTGTTCAACATTTATGTGAAGCCGCTGGGTGAGATCATCCGTGGTTTCGGGGTGAAGTACCATCAGTACGCTGATGACACCCAGCTGTACATCTCCACCCCGGATCACCCCAACGATGCCCTTGAAGTGATGTCCCGGTGCCTGGAGGCCGTACGGATCTGGATGGGGAGGAACAGGCTCAGGCTCAACCCATCCAAGACCGAGTGGCTGTGGTTTCCGACGTCCCGATATAGTCAGTTGACGCCATCACTGACTATTGGGGGCGAACCATTGGCCCCCACGGAGAGGGCTCACAACTTGGTCGTCCTCCTGGATTCACGGCTGTCTTTAGAAGAGCACCTGATGGCCGTGACCAGGAGGATTTTTTATCAGGTTCGCCTGATTCACCAATTGCGTCCCTTTCTGGATCAGGACTCGTTACGCATGGTCACTCATGCCCTCGTCACCTCCCGCCTGGACTATTGTAATGCTCTCTACATGGGGCTCCCCTTGAGGAGCACCCAGAGGCTCCAACTGGCGCAGAGGGCGGCCGCGCGGGTGGTAATGGGAGTGTCATGGTGCTCCCATGTGACACCTCTCCTGCGCGAGCTGCACTGGCTCCCAGTGGTCTTCCGGGTGCGCTTCAAGGTTTTGGTTACCACCTTTAAAGTGCTCCATGGCTTAGGACCTGGTTATTTACGGGACCGCCTACTACCACCAATAGCCTCCCACCGGCCAGTACGCTCTCATAGAGAGGGACTCCTCCGGGTGCCGTCAGCCAAACAGTGTTGGCTGGCGGCCCCTAGGGGGAGAGTCTTCTCTGTGGGGACACCTACCATCTGGAATGAGCTCCCCCCAGAGATACGGAGGATCCCGGATCTGCGCACCTTCCACCGCGCTGTGAAGACCTTTTTATTCCATCAAGCGGGCTTGGCCTAATCTCCTCCCTCTTTTAATATGTAAATTTTAATCTGTTTTTAAATTATTGGGGTGTTTTAATCTGTCCGGGCCAAAATGATTTAATTTGATTTTATCTGGTTTTTAAATTTTGTGTATTTATGTATTTTATTGCTTGGCTGTTCACCGCCCTGAGTCCTTCGGGAGTAGGGGGGTATACAAATCAAATAAACTAAACTAAGCTAACTCCTTTCATTTTCTGAAGTTTTTAACCAATCTATTATAGTTTGTATATTTTCATCTTCCATTACCCTATCACGACTTATATTAGTTTTAATCGGCCAATTTTCAATTGTCTTCCCTAAGAAAATTATATCTGGAATTAAAATTTTAACAAATTTATTCCAAATTTTACTCAGTCCCTTTAACCAATAGCTACTAATTACACATTTTGATTTTGATTTGATTTTGATCTGTATCCTACAAAGAGAATATGTACAAAATGTTCTATAGATGGCACCTCCTGCCTGCCCGACTGGCAAGAATGTTTCTGAACACCTCCCCAATATGTTGGAAATGCAAACTCCAAAAAGGAACCTACTACCATATGTGGTGGTCCTGTCAGAAAGCAAAACAATTTTGGCAGACGATTAGAATACAAATAGAGGAAATCAAACACCAAAAAATAGAAATGAGGCGAGAAACCTTTTTATTAGGAATAATTACAGGACAATACGAAAAAGAAATAAAATACTTAATTATTCATATACTAACGGCAGCACAAATAGTTTTTGCCCAGAATTGGAAGAATGAGGATATACCAACAGAAGATAAAATAATTAGTAAAATTATGGAATGTGCAGAAATGGACAAACTTACAAAGGAAATACAGGAAAAGGAGGAAATGGACTATTATTTAGTATGGCATAAATGGTATAACTGGTTGGAGAAGAAGAAAGGGAAAAAGGATATGGATATAAATGAGAAGATAAAAATTATAGATAAGAAATTAAGTACCAATTAAGGAAAATAGTAAATTAAAGATGTAAATTAAGAAAATGCGAAGAGATGATGTACGGGGATTACTGACTACCTAAGTGATATTTAAATCTAAGTGCTATTGCTATTTCTGTGATCATGCAGTTAAGTATTGTACATTCACTGTTGAACTGATAAAAGGTACCTGGAAAAAGTTTCCTCCTCCTCTTACTGTTAATCTTATTCTGACCTAAACATTTTTATACACAAATGTATTCAATGGTGGGATTCAGCCAGTTTGGACCAGTTGAGGCGAACCGGTAGTTAAATTGCTGCTGGCCCTGCCCCTTCCAGGAGTTCCTACCTGCCCCATTTTGACTCCCAGGTAAGTGCAGGGAGGCCTACTAGGCCCAAAACGGGGCGTGGGAGTGTGTGGCACGCCCCCCCCGGTTTCCCATTTTCACTCCCAGGAGGCTTCAGGGAGACCTACTAGGCCCAAAATGCGGTGGGGGTAGTGTGTGTCCCCCCCCCCATGGTGCATTTTCGCTCCTAGGAGGCTGCAGGGAGGCCTCCTAGGCCCAAAACAGGGTGCCAAGGAGGGACATCACATCTCCCACACAGACCATTTTTGTTCCAAGGGGGATGCAGGAGGCCAAGTGCTGCCTGTCACACCCCATATCCCTGGCCACCATGGCCACGCCCACCTAACTGATCATTAGGGAAGAGAGCTGGTTGTTAAATTATTTGAATCCCATCACTGAATGTATTGGACTAAAAAAAAAAAAAAAACACCAAACCTTCCATTAAGAAATGCAAATTTTATTTATTTATTTATTCATTTATTTAACTTACATGCCAAGCATATCACCTCAAGGTGATCTAGATAGCTTATAATCAATAGAAACAATATTAAACGTTAAAACAATACACAGTAACATTGCTTTGAAATTGACAAAAATGGAAGGAAGAGAGTCATATGCACAAAGGGAGAAGGTGGGGTCTTAGCTTAGTCTATTAATCGTCTCCAGAATGAGATGCCTCTATACAATTTGCAGGTTCTACATTTTCTACAATTCAGACAGATTCAACTGGAATATCCCAATGATTCTTGGAAGTTTCATTTCCATGGAAGAACTAATTGAACAAGAAGTGTCAATTCCAAAAGATATATGCACACACAAACATATAGATCACATATTTCAGTATAATTAGGAAAATGCTAATATTGTCCAGAGAAATTATTAAGATCAATACCAGGAAGGAAGGGAGGGAAGGAGGGAGGTATAGAGTTGTAATTTATTTAGCAGAAATATACTGTATGCAATACAAAATGAAAAGCTTTCCTACCAATATTTGATAACAATGTGAACTTTAGTAGGAAACCTAGGCCAAAAACAACTAGTTTCATTGAAGTTCAATCATAATGGTTTATATTAATAATGGTACCGTCAACTACAAAAAGAATTCCAAGCTTTCTGGTATATTTTGACTTAAATATAAACATTTGGTTTTCCAGATTTGGATGATTGCTTCCAGTGCCCAGAAGATCAGTATCCAAATAACGACCAGGATTTATGTTTGTCAAAGCATGTAACTTACCTATCCTTCAAAGAATTATTGGGGGCCAACTTAGCTACATCAGCTCTTGTGCTTTCTTTTACCACGACACTGGTGCTAGGAATCTTCTTGAAGTACAACAACACTCCCATCATCAAAGCCAACAACCGCAGCCTTTCCTATACCCTCCTCATTTCCCTCCTCCTCTCCTTCCTTTGTTCTCTGCTTTTCATTGGTCGACCCGTGAAGATAATGTGTCTCCTTCGACAGAACTGCTTTTGGAATCATCTTCTCAGTGGCTGTTTCTTGCATGTTGGCCAAAACCATCATTTTGTACTGTATGGCTTGGAACTTCTCCACCCTTCCCAGATGTAGATATGTGGTCCATAAGTAGTGGAATAATTATAGAATGTAATGAAGGATCTGTTGCAATGTTTTATTCTATTTTTGGTTTTATGGGTTTCCTGGCTATAATCAGTATTATTGCAGCTTTCTTAGCTAGGAAGTTATCAGACACATTCCAGGAAACCAAGTCAATTACTTTCAGTATGCTGGTGTTTTGCAGTGTCTGGTTGTCCTTTGTGCCTGCCTACATAAGCACCAAAGGAAAATACACAACAGCTGTGGAGATCTTTGCCATTTTGGCTTCTAGTGCTGGGCTCCTGGCTTTTATCTTTTTCCCAAAATGCTATGTCATTATAATTAGACCAGATCTTAATAAAAGGGAGCAATTAACAAAAAGAGTAAATTAAACTATGTTGTCAAAAAAAAAAAAAAATCTCCACTGGTGGAAATACAACAACACCCAGCATTTAAATTCTACCTGACATCATAACGCTAGATAAATGGGAGAATGTATGGACTAATTGGTAAAAAAATTACTTTGAATTATAGTTTGAAAGAACATTTTTATAAAATGATGTATCCTTGGTCTTTGACTCAAGATAGATTAGCAAAAATGTATAGATGGACTTCTAACAAGTGTTGGAAATGTAAGAGACACTGGATTATACAGTTTTATGAGAGACTGGAAGTCATTTATGGACTTCTACAAGTTAAATAGAGTTAAATACAAATTAAATAACAGATAGTTAAAAGAAAGATTTGAAGATTAGTGTAATGTTTTAGCTAACCTGTTCACCATATATACATACATATATGAGAAAGAGAGGGAGGGAGGGAGAGGTAGAGAGAACTGTCGGGCCAATATGATTAACAGATAGAGATCCCTTCATCTGGAATGTTAATTTATATAATAAAGTTTTCTTGTTAAATAAGGAAGAGAATGTTTACAACTATTTGTAGACCCATTATGTTAGGGGAGGAGAATTCATAAGGTGCTTTTATTTATTTTCAGCATCCAGCTGGGTGGGATTTTTTATGCTCAATGTTAGACATTTGGGTTATTATTATTTTTTTTCTTTTTTGTTTTTGTTCTTGGTATTGGATATATGCTTTCCTGGGTTGTGTATGGTTGGATTTTTTTCCCCTTTGTATTTATTCTTATTCATAAAACAGAATAAATATACAGAATAGAAAAACAATAAAGAAAATTTTACTTGACATATCAATCTCACCAAAGCATGCATTTCTCTACATCATCTTTGTTATTGTTATTGTGGCAACATGAAGGGAATTGTGTATGACTAAGAATAATCTCTCGGGAACACTAGAGATTTTGCTGTAAAAGAAATTAGTTTTGTAAAAAAAAGAGAACAAAACAGAACTGGCTCTGTAACTCTTGAGTCATTCATTATCTTCTCTATAATTATGAACTTTTTCAGCAAACTGGTAATTCCCAGGCCATTATTACTACTGACAGAGACTTTAAGCATCTCCTCTGGCCTTCAGAAATAGGCAGACTATAGAGATAGTATAATAACCAAAGCTTGGCACTGAGGCTTTAAACTGCATTTACCTGGCTTTCAATCCATCCCTTTGTTTTGCAGATCAAGGGGGCGCTAACAATAATGTGGGATCCGTGGAAGTCTTTTTTTTCACAAATGATTTTCTATGTAGCTGTAATTCTTGGTTTCCTCATATTATTCTTTCTCCCTAAGAGTGTTGGCCAAGTAGAAAAATGCAGGAGCACTGAGCCTGCATCAATTTCTCATAAATATGATCAAGCTGGGGACTTCATTGTTGGTGGTGTAATTTCTCAGACCTTCGTTATGTCTGAAAGGATGTCATTCAGGTATCATCCCAGCAAGGATGATTTGGTAGAACACATGTGAGTAACTAGATATTTTAAAACTTCCTCCTACATCTTCTTATTCTTTCTTTTTATTTTCTGTGCAAGACATTCTACAGTGTATGATTTTGGTCATGTGTGAACAATCAAGTATTTTTTAAATTATGTACTATAGCATCTGTTTATTTTTCTTCAAAAATGTACCCCTTTCTGTTCAGTTTAGACTGTTGGTGTTAGTACATCTCACAGTATAAATCATTTTAATGTTAGTTCTTTATAGAATAGAATAGAATTCTTTATTGGCCAAGTGTGATTGGTCACACAAGGAATGTGTTTTAGGTGTATATGCCCTCAGTGTACATACGGAGAATAAAATATATTCATCAAGAATAAAAAGATACAATACTTAGTGATAGTCAAGGTTAGTAATAAGCTATCAAATCGTACTAGGAAACAAATAAAAACAATATAATTGAAAGATACAAGCAACATGGTTATAGTAATAAGTGGGAAGAGATAGATACTAGTAAGGAAGAGAAGAATAATAGTAATAATATAGTCTTCGGAAATTATTTGACAGTGTGGTGGGAATTAATTGCTAAGCAGAACGATGGCATTCAGGAAAAAACTGTCCTTGTGTCTAGTTGTTCTAGTGTGCAGTGCCCTATAGGGTTATTTTGAGGGTAGAAGTTGAAACAATTTATGTCCAGGATGTGTGGGGTCTGTATCACAAGGCTAGTTGTTCAACCTCCCTTCTTTATGCAGATTCATCATTGTCTTGAATGAGACCAATCACTGCTGTATCATTTGCAAACTTCAGTATTTTGAGAGAGGGATCTTTTGAGATGCAGTCATTGGTGGAGAAGTGGAGAGAGCACACAGCCGTGGGAGACTCTGTTACGAATTTTACATCATTCTTCTCCTGCTTGAACATAGGAAAGAATAAAACTTTATTTCAGAACTAATTATACAGAGAATACTTAACTATTTTTAAAAATTTCATTGTAGATTATTGTCACAGAGCTACCAACACATCATGGCTGTGGTTTTTGCTGTAAAGGACATTAATAAAAATCCCCAGATCTTAACCAATATCACACTAGGCTTCAACATTTACAATAACTATTTTCTTCCAAGATATACTTGTATTGCTGCTATGGAACTCCTCTCTACACCAAACAGATTCATCCCTAATTATAAGTGTCACAATCAGAAGAATCTGATTGCTGTCATAGGAGGACCAAGTTCTATTGAATTTCTTGATATGGCTACCATTATGACAGCTTACAAGTTTGTGCAGGTAAGTCCTTTGCTTAACATATATTGGAGATTGGGGTGGGTTAACGATATTTTAGTGTTCTAATATTTCATTGTGGTAAATTGATAAATTTACACAATGATAAATTTCATTGTGGTTTCTTTTGGAGAAAGTTTAAAAAACAAATGTAGCTTCGATAATCTCAGCTGAACTGAGAGCATCCAAATATAACAACTATAGCTGTCAAAGAAGTCATGGTATTGTGTACATCACATTGGTATAGCATTCTTTTGTGACATCTTTGTAGCACTTACGTGGACAATCTTGAAGTCTTCCCAAACTTCTGTACACTCTAGAGCAACTGGCAAGGCATGTGTTGGCCATCCATTCTGATGATGTGTCCCACCCACCGAATCTGGGCTCTGATTGTCAACATCCAGCTTCAGTATCCAACTAAAATTCCTGGACCATTTCATTTCTGAAAAGCTTACTTTATATTAAATACACGGCTTAGCAATGTTGAGGTAAAACTAACTCTGAGATCCTCAGGTCCCAGTTAATAATATTAAACAATGATTTTCCCTGCCAAACCCCCAGGCCTCCACATAGACCAAGTAAACCATTTCCCTTTGTTATGGGAACCATCTGCCTCAAGTGCACACCTGTTAAGATGTCCTTGAAAAGTTTCTAGAATCTCACAAGCTTCAGTGGAACTGTAGAAGTGTCATTTTTCTAGTTAACTCATTTATAATCAACACTTCCCCTTCCCGACCTTTCTCTAATGGCAAGTAGAAATGACAAGGTACATAGCTGCCAAAGTTTCACTCCTGACACTGATAATCAGGGGTTCAATGCTGCTGGACTCTACATGATCAACTTATTAAAAAATTAAATTAACTGATTAAATTGAAACATTAATTAAATTCATTTCAGTTAATATTATGTAGCATATTAATAAGTGGTATTTATGACAGTTATATTAAAATACACCAAAGACCACCATTTACTGTGTGACTGGTATTTTTCATCACCTTGTTTGTTTTAGGTTGCATATAGTTCTGTCCCAGAGACCAGTAGCATTACGCAAAGTCATTTCTTTTACTGGATGCTCCCAAAGGCCAGTCATCAATATCATGGACTTCTCCAGCTCTTTTTGCATTTTGGCTGGACCTGGATTGGGATGTTGTACATTAATATCGGCAACATAGCTGAGAACTTGCTGAGGAATGTTATTCCCATGTTTTCCAGAGGTGGGATCTGTTTTGAATTCATAGAAAAAATGTCAAGTGAATTTCTCAGTGAGAATGAGAAGACACTGCGTACATCATACAACATTTTAAGTATTGTTTCGAAGAGTACAGCTAAAATAGTGATGTTTCTGGGGGGATTTCAGAGTATGCTAAGTTTAAGGATTTTGCTCAGATTTTCAGAACATAATGATACGCCATGTAACCCCAAGGTTTGGTTTATGACAGCAGAGGTAGACTTCTCATCCCTTCCTTTCCAAAGATATTGGGATCTTAATTTCATTCATGGCTCTATAACGCTTGCAGTACACTCAAAACAAGTGTCGGCTTTCCAGAAATTTGTTCAGATGAGGAGCCCGGTTTTAGATGAGGAAGATGGATTACTAATTCAGTTTTGGCAACAGATCTTTAACTGTTTGCTCCACATTTCCATCACAGATGAAGAGGATGACAACATCTGCACTGGGGAGGAGAAACTAGAGATTCTCCCTGTATCTTTGTTTGAAACCAGCATGACTGCCCACAGCTACAGTATCTACAATGCTGTTTATGCAATTGCACATGCTTTGCATGCCATGTATTCTTTCCAAGGCCGACAAAGAAGAATAATGAGAGAGAATTTCCTGAGTCAACAGTCATGGAGGGTAAGGAGAATAATTTGGACATTCCACTAGGTCCATGGTAGCAAACCTATGGCACATGCGCCAGAGGTGGCATGCAGAGCCCTCTCTGTGGGCACGCATGAACAGGAAGCTCTTCTTCCAGGTTCCATTGCACCCATGCGCACCAGATAGATGTTGCTGCATACATGCGCACGGCAGCCAGCTATCTTCTGTCCGCGCTTGTGTGCCAAGTCTTCATGCAAAGACCAGCTGGCTGGTGCACATGAACATGACAGAACCCGGAAGTGCAGCTGGCTGCTGCAAAGATGGGCTCCAGCCAGCTGCTCTAGTCTGGGTTCTGGTACTGTAACGCGCTCCAGTTTCCGCTCCATCTTAACTGTGTTTTTTAGAAATGAGGTAATTCTAGATATTGGAGGTTACTCCCATAAATGACTTGGTCATTCTTCTAAGGAAGAAGTCCAATATGCTTTCCCATAAGACATTTATAATATCCTAGCAGCAATTAGCATATACAAAGCAAATTAGGTATACTTTGAAGGAATATATGGTTTGATAAAAATTTACAAAACTATTACAATTTACAATGGAATTTAACTTTCAACATTTGTTTCTGCCTGTATGAATTACTTCTCAAAACTCTCTCTCTGTGTGTGTGTCTCTCTGTGTGTTTTTTGCTCCTTATATTTCCAATGTTTTTTTTTAGAAAATGATTTGTCTATTTTAATCATCAAGACTGTTCTACCAGTTATAGAACATCTTATATCAATTTTCTCTCTATATAACATTTAACTCCAGGGACTTGTCCAGGTAGTCACTAGGAGTCAAAGGTTCATATGTACATACAAACATGCATGCAAACATGAAGAGAAAGAAAGAAAGAGAAAGAGAGAGAGAGAATGTGAAGAGAGGGAGAGAGAGAGGAAGGGAGGGAGGGAGGGAGGAGGAGAGAGAGGGAGAGAGGAAGGGAGGCAACATTCAGAATAAAAGTTCTTCTCTTGAAATTCCAATTGTTGCATCTCTGCTATCGTAATCAAATTCAATATACATTTTATTATATGGCATTTGACCTTCTCAGATTCTGATTAATATTAGTGTAACAACTTTTAAATTAGAAGGAGCAAATAAACAAAATTGTGTGTCACAAGGTTTTAAAATTCAAAAATCAAAGTCTTTCAATATTTCCTTGTTTCCCCTGTTCTTTTTGTGCTATTTTCCCTATTTTAAAACATTGAAACCAAGTAAGTACACTAGATTATTATTAAGTAGGAAGCCCAAGACCTCTCATGTTTGTCTTATTAACAATAAAACAATAAAATCTTCCAATTTATTATCTTTCCATGAGATGTCTTTTTTTCTCTCATTTTTATTAATTTATAGTATAAAATCCAAAAGTACAAAAGCAAATAGTAGGACACAGAGTGATAGGTAAGGGGAAGAGATATCCTTGGGATGTCTTGTTATTATGATAAAAGTCTTCTTAAAAATAGACATTCAATAACAAGGCAAGAAGTAGAAAAGATAAACATAAGCTTGTTTTTTGTGTGTTTGACCCAGATATTCAGTAGATCAGTTATTATTGTGTTGTCTCTTATACGTTTTCTATTTTTTGATAAATAGTTAGATTTCCTTAATGATGCATTATGTCATCTTTACAAAAATGATTTTTTTCAATAGATGGCATTATTCTTTGCATAAGAAGACAAATATTGTTTCACAGATATATTGTTCGTTTCTGTAAGTGTAAATATTTCCCAAGTCTTATTATTGAACTAGTGAATATTTTATTTGCTGAGTTATTATTAGCATGTTTTGAAAGAGAACTTTAGCGACTGACTGTCCTACAAATATATCTGTTTTCACTTCCTTTACGACTGTTTAGCTTCACCACTTTCTGCAAAGTATATCTTTTAATAACAGTGTTGGAGAAAAAATTTCTTTTGACCAAAATGGTGAACTGCTGGCAGGACTTGACATCATAAACTGGATCACTTTCTCAAACCAGACCTTTCTCAGAAAGACAGTTGGAAAGATAGACCCATCAGCAACCACTGACAAATGTTTGATTATTGATGAACATAATGTGGTTTGGCCCAGCTGGTTTAATCAGGTAGAGTCCATGTTATTTTAAGTTCTCTTGCACTTCTTTCCCCACTTTTTCCCCATTGTCCCAAAAGTGTTATACAGTTCAAGCTTTAATGTGAATGACACAGATATTCAGACATATGAATTGGTTTTTTGCTTGTGGAGCTTGTGCTCAGTGTAATTATGAGGAAAACGATGAGTCCTTCAGAAAGACAGAAATGGTTGATCATCTGCTTTTTTCTTAATTTCTAGGGATGGATGAGAATTAGGTTGCAAATTCATATTCTAGCACCATTATAATCAGGGGTGAAATCCAGCAGGTGCTGCCAGGTTCTGGAGAACCATTAGCGTAAGTTTTGAGCAGTTTGGAGAACCAGTAGCGGAAATTTTGAGTAGTTCAAAGAAGTGGCAAATACCACCTCTGGCTGACCCCAGAGTGGGGTGGGAATGGAGATTTTGCAGTATCCTTTCCCTGCCATGCCCATCAAACCACACCATGCCCACAGAACTATTAGTAGAAAAAATTGGATTTCATCACTGATTATAATCCATTCATCCAATGAATGTTAATATGTTTCCTGGATAAGGAATAAAACTGTTAACAGCAATTTGTTGCCCTATTGGAAATAAGAAGAGAATTTGGGCCACAAAATTTAATTCATTGTTGGGTACCAATCTCTGGACAATTCCTTTAGCAAACTGTTGGATTAAAAAAAATTGTATACAGACCAATAAATGCAACAATACAGTAAATTAATTTCCTAAGACTCAATATGGTCCTATTGTCAGCGTCCCAGCACTGACATATATAAGGAGAGGAGAAGCTTGAACTTTTGCCTACTTAATCCCTTTGAAGATTCTGTCTCCTCGGAGATGGGAGGGGGGAACATTCCTGTGATCTGATGGAGGAGGGATGAGGAAAGTGGCTTGGAAGATAGCCAATGAGACGCAGAGAATTGGGGATCGAAAGGGAGGGATTGGGGGGCAAAGGTCAGTACTGACCGCACAAGAGCCAGGGACAGATCACTATGCTCAATAAAGAGAAAATTTCCTTAAAGATCAGCAGTTTGGTAATTCCTTTATTTTGAGATCGCATTGAAACCTGACACCTATGTGACCACACTGAAGATATAAAGGAAATGAACTAGTCTGGTGTAGTGGTTAAGACATCAGGTTGGAAACATGGCAACTATGAGTTCCACTTCCATCTTAGACAAAAAGCCAGTTGTGTGAGCTTTGACCAGTTACCTTTTCTCACCCATAGAAAGGAATCAAAGGCAAAACAATTCTTGCAATCTTGCCAAGAAAACTTCAGGGACTTGTCCACATAGTCTTTGTGAACCAGACATAATTGAATAGAAGAAGAAAAATCATATAATCCTATAATCCTTCCCCAGGATCAGCCCACAGCTTTCCACTGCTCTCCTGTTCTCGGTCTTCTGTGCATCTGCTCATCAGGCACTGGACCCAGCTGTTCCTCTTCTTCCTCATCAGCCACCTCCAAACTTGGGGATGTTGACTCTCCATCTGAGGGTTGATGAATGGCCCAGACTCCACCTCTCTCTCTCTCTTTGCCAGCTCCATTCCCTCTTCCCCCTCAGAGCTCCTAGGTTGCCCTGAAGCTGACTCCAATGCTTCCTCCTCCTCCTCTGATTCAGCTGCTGAAGTGGCCCATGGACAATAGGCCACAACATATTCTAAAGAGATGGTAAATTCTTCTTGAATCAATCATCAATCTTGAATCTTCTTCAACCTGCCAATTGAAGATATTTCCAGATCTCCTGTATTTGGAAAGTCCTATTCTCTCTATTGAACCATCTTTTTTTTTTCCTGGAAAGGAACGTCCTGTTTCACTTTGTAATGAGAAGTGCAAGCCAGGTTACCGCAAGACCAAGATCGAAGGGCGATCGTTTTGTTGCTATAACTGCACTCGATGCCCAGAGGGAAAGATCACCAATCAGATAGGTAAGAGATCCCATAAAAGACATTGGCTGTATCTGGATATTTGGATATCAAAGTGGGTTCAACTGACTTAAGATTTTTCTTAAAATTTCTTTTAATTTTAGCCAATTTTTCCAAAAAGCCAAAAAAATCCACCTCCAAAATGTTGTGTTAAGGTATTTTCTCTCCTTGTGTCCGGTATTCATTGCCAAGCTCTCTGTGTAGAGTTAAGAAGAAGTTTGATTGCTTGTCGGGTAATTTTTACCATGTATATTTTTGTATATGTCTTGTATATAAACCACTGTTAAATGTTTAAGGCTCTGTGTGCTGTGTTCTGCTCCTGGGTTGTCTCCTAATAGTAGTCACATTGCAAACGCTCTGACATGTTGTTTTATGTAGTTTCTCTTACACATAAGCTGGTTCCTCTCTACTGAGAGCTACACGACTTATTAAAATATTGCTATCTCATCACAATGTGTGAAGTGAAAAAAAGGAAATGAAAATGGACAGTTTATTACTTATTAACAAAATCTACACTAACAAATCATACCATGAGACTAATTCACGACACACTTATTTATTTTTTTAATCTGAAATACTAAGCAGGAGGGCTCAAAAATATATCCTTATTGAACTTTCTATATTTCATTTTAACAGATCGAGATGACTGTTTCCAGTGCCCAGAAGATCAATATCCAAACAACAAGCAGGATTTATGCGTGCCAAAGGATATAAGTTACTTAAGTTATGAAGAACCTTTGGGGATCAGTTTAGTGACCTTGGCTCTTGTGCTTTCTTTTATCACAATATTGGTGCTGGGAATCTTCAGGAAGTATCACAACACTCCAATCATCAAAGCCAACAACCGCAGCCTCTCCTATACCCTCCTCCTCTCCCTCCTCCTCTCCTTTCTTTGCTCTCTACTTTTCATTGGTCAACCCATGAAGATGACTTGTCTCCTTCGACAGACTTCTTTTGGGATCATCTTCACTGTGGCTGTTTCTTGTATGTTAGCCAAAACTGTCACCGTGGTGTTTGCGTTCATGGCCACCAAGCCAGGATCAAGGATGAGGACATGGGTTGGGAAAAGCCTAGCCCTTTCCATTGTTCTCTCCTGCTCCTTTATTCAATTTCTTCTTTGTACTGTGTGGTTAGCAACCTCACCCCCTTTCCCAGACATGGATAAGCACTCTTTCATTTCTGAAATTGTTGTGGAATGCAATGAAGGGTCAGATATCATGTTTTATAGTGTGCTATCATTTATGGGTTTCCTGGCTATAGTCAGTTTTATTGCAGCTTTCCTTGCTAGGAAGTTACCAGACACTTTCCAGGAAACCAAATCTATCACATTCAGCATGCTGGTTTTTTGTAGTGTCTGGTTGTCCTTTGTCCCAGCCTACGTGAGCACCAAAGGCAAATACATGGTAGCTGTGGAGATCTTCTCCCTCCTGGCCTCCAGCACTGGGCTTCTGGCTTGTGTCTTTTTCCCCAAATGCTACATTATCGTCATGAGGCCTCATCTGAATAAAAGGGAGCATCTCATAAAGAGAACTGTTTAAGCAATCTTGCCTTTTGTTTTTGTCCAACATGGGAATAGCACAATGAGATAAATCCCTTAAGGCATCAATTTTGAGAGGTACATTAAAGGTCAGATAGCCAATTTTCATGGTGCTTGGAACAGATCCAGAGCATCAGTCAAAGATATAACTAGTATGTTATATATAATAGTTATATAACTATCATTTCTTTTATGTACACTGAGAGCATATGCACCAAGACAAATTCCTTGTGTGTCCAATCACACTTGGCCAATAAAAATTCTATTCTATTCTATTCATTGAGGTTTGCAATGAGATTGTATTTGGATAAGATTCTGAATCAAATAAACCTGGTTTATTAGTTAGTGCAGTAGTAGATGAGGAAGTTATGAATAGGGACATAAACTCTGAGTTACAGCAGGTACAATAAGGAAAATGTGGCTATCATGGCATAATTAGCAGAACTGGAATTGGCTGAAATCATACAGTACGGGTCTGTACTTAGCTGAGCAAAGTTTAAATACCAAGTTTATTCACAACATTTGACTTTAAATACTTTTATTTTATCCTACAGCTTTTCTTGCAACAAGTCTTTCTGTAATATTCAGGTCAGGTATTGTTCTTATATAGACAATCAATCTTTTAATAGTGGATTTTCAGATGAATGGAATTGTTGAAATAAAATTGAATCAAAGGAATTGTAAGGGAATGAAATCTGGATTCCCAGAAGGGAATGAGTGTATTCCAGAAAAGTAAGAAACAAATCAATTCAGATAGTTTGTATGACAGATAAAGGGTAAAGACAGCTCCTCCTTAACAGTTCCTAGAGCATATGCTTTAGGGGGATGGCAGTTTGCCTTACTTTGGCAAGATTCTGTCTATAAGTAAGGAATATTAAAAATATTTTAAAAATTTGCTTGGAAAAAATTACATGCCTTTCTTACTTTTTGGAGTCTGACAGGAATGTGTCATATCTTTGAAGGTGTAGCCTGTTGAATATCTTAGTAAAACATATTCAATGGAAACCTGTTAATCTGTTCTCAAGATGCCAGTCTTCTTCCTGGTATTTGGCACCCCAAAACCCTTAGTTTGATCTATTTCTCCTCACAAAGAATATTGGTCTCTTGACAAAAAGTAGACATCAGAAGGGTGGGAACTAATCCAAGGACTGTTACTTATGAAAATGTAATCTTTCACCATTTACCACTTTTGCATATGCATGCTTGCATCATTTCCCCTCCTTTTCTGAAATGTATAAATATCAATTCATCTCTTTTGTTTGCAAGAGTATGTCTCACTATCCTTTTGGTGGGGTTCCCTTAAGAACATATTGTTTTTATAATAAACACTATTGTTTTTATAATAAACACTTCCATTATGCTGTGTTCTGATTTGTCAAAAGCAACTCTGTCTTTGTGTAGTTTATTAGCTGGCACTCAGTGGTGGCCCCAGTTCGAGCAAATTGGTAGCAGTTGCAGCGGGAAGCTCCGCACACCCACCTAGATGTCATCAAGTATGCTCTGTGCAAGCGCAGAAGTTTCTGCACATGCACACAAGTGGCACATGTGCGAACCAGTAGCAAAGTTAAGTGAAACCCACCACTGTTGGCACTACTTTAATAACCTCAACAGACTGACATTTAGGTGGAATTGACATCCTGTGTCTGCCATTGTGTGTCTAATGCCCAATCCAGTTTCTGTATCTTCTTATTATTCAGGTTTGTTGACTGCACTTGACAGAAAACTACATTTCACACATCAGAAATACACTTTCTGCTGAGAAATGTCAGAATGTTGGCCTGATCAATTTTCATACAAATAGTTTATATTGCCATTGAAATTAAGATTTACAAATATCTTTAGGTTGATATTTGACATTAGGTGCGTGGCCCCGTTGCAAACTGGTAGTAAAGGTAGAACCCACCCCTGCATTCAAGCTATTGATGTCTCTCGTCACTTGAAAAAAAAATAGTCTACAATTTGATTTTTCTGACTATTTTATTTATTTATTTATTTAATTAAACTTATATACTGCTCTTCTCCCCAGGGGGACTCAGGGTGGTGGACAGCCAGAAATTAAAACACATATAGTACAAAAGTTAAGAAAAAATTAAAATAGATTAAATCAGCAGCATTATCAGTTTAAAATCCCAAATCTACAAAATCAAAAAAATTCCCAATTTAAAACCCAATAAACCAATAAAATTAAAAGATTAAAAATTCCCATTAAAACCATTTAAGCTAGGCTGGCTTGTTGGAATAAATAAGTCTTCAGGGCCTTGTGGAAAGTGCGGAGGTCTGGGATCAGTCGTATTTCAGGAGGTAGCTCATTCCAAAGGGCAGGTGCCCCCACAGAGAAGGCTCTCTCCCTGGGGGCCGCCAGCCGACATTGCTTGGCCGACGGCACCCTGAGGAGGCCCTCTCTGTGCGAGCGTATTGGCTGGTGGGAGGTTATCGATAGCAGCAGGTGGTCTCGCAAGTATCCTGGCCCTATGCCATGGAGCACTTTAAAGGTGAGAACCAATACCTTGAAGCGCACCCGGAAGACTGTTCTGTCCCCAACCACACGCACACACACCAACAGACGTTCAAGAGTTAAAGACCAAACCAGCCGGCAAAATCCTTTTCCTTAAGATAACAGAACTTGGCAACAACCTAGTGGCTGCCTGCCAAGAGTTTATTATTTACAAAGAGGAGAGATAACTTCTCCCCACTTCTGATACATCAAAAGAAACAGCTCAATAATTACGGAGTTAATCAAGTCCAGAGATAATCCAGCTAAATCTTATAGCAAAAGTCCGATGCAGAATGCAATGCAGAATGGCGTGGAAGCTTTCAGCTTTGTTCGTCACAAGGTTTGACTGGCCACCACACTCCCTTTTATATCCTGTGGAGTGTGGTCCAGTGACTCAGCCTAATCTCGGGCATGCCTTTTCTTCTGTTGCACGTGCTTATCTCTGCGACGCTGGCGTGGATCCAGCCAAGACTCATTACCCTCATCACTGTCCATCTATGGCTGCATGGACGTGCTTGGCCCCGGCCCTATCTCTTGCCCTTTGGTGGACACTAAAGGCATTGCCAGAGAGGAGGGTCATGGAGAAGGAGGTCTTGCCAACTCTTCTTCTTCACTCTCAGAGTCCTCTCCTGCTGATGACACAGGCTCAGGTAACGGAGCCACAACAAAGACCACTGGGAGCCAATGCAGCTCACGCAGGAGAGGTGTTGCTCTCCTGCATGAGAGCAACAGGGCTCCCTGATTATGGGAGCCCCGTTGCTCCCATAATCACCCGTGCAGCTGCATTCTGGACCAGTTGGAGCCTCCGGGTGCATCTCAAGGGGAGCCCCATGTAGAGAGCATTACAGTAGTCCAGGCGAGATGTGACAAGGGCATGGGTGACTATGCATAAGGAGTCCCGATCCAGAAAGGGGCACCACTGGCATATCAGACAGACCTGATAGAAGGCCCCCCTGGCCATGGCCGTCATATGCTCTCCCAAAGACAGCCATGAGTCCAGGAGGACACCCAAGTTGCAAGCCCCCTCTGTGGGGGTCAGTAACTCACCCCCAATAGCCAGCGATGGCACCAGCATCCATAGCCACTCAGTCTTGGAGGGGTTGAGTCGAAGCCTGTTCCTCCCCATCCAGACCCACATGGCTTCAAGACACTGGGACATCACTTCGAGGGCATCATTGGGGTGGTCAGGGGTGGAGATGTACAGGTTTAGGTTTAGGTTTAGGTTTTATTTGATTTGTATACCGCCCTACTCCCGAAGGACTCAGGGCGGTGAACAGCCAACAATAAAATACAGCTGAGTGTCATCAGCGTACAGTTGGCAACGCACCCCAAAACCACGGATGATCGCATCCAGCAGTTTCACATAAATGTTGAACAGGAGTGGCGAGAGGACCGACCCTTGTGGCACTCCATAAACGAGGCGCCTCGAGGTCGACCTCTGCCCCCCTGCCAACACAGACTGCGACCGGTCGGAGAGATAGGAGGAGAACCACCGAAGCACGGTGCCTCCCACCCCCAAGCCCTCCAGCCGACGCAGCATGATACCATGGTCGATGGTATCAAAAGCCGCTGAGAGATCTAACAGGACCAGGACAGAGGAGCAACCCCTGTTCCGAGCCCTCCAGAGATCATCCACCAAATAGTGGATGAATATCTGGAGAAGTCAACCAGTATTAATAGTGATCCATTTTTTCCCAAGATTTTAGTCTTTATGGGTCAACAGATATGACTGTGAATTCTCTCTAGGATTCTCTGTCTCTCTTTTTGTTTCTGCTCAATAGACATGATGCCAAATCCCTTTGCCTTTTTTACACAGCTAACATCTAGTGTCTAACACTGTTACAGACAAATACTAGAAGCGCTAAATACATGAAATTTGTAAAGCTATGCAGAGATCAATCAGTATTTCAATATGTGTTAATGATGCAGTACAGGTTGAATCATTTATAGCATGTTTAAAAAGTCTTCAAATATTCTGGAAGTTTGTAATAAATTTATTCAATCCAGAGTGCTCAGCAAAGGAGTCCTCTTAGACTTCTAAGCTTACTTTTAGTATCTCATGAACATGCACAGGTTTCATCATCTGTTGGGATCACTATTTTCCTCTGTCATCTTTTGGGATAGTCATTACAAACTACTAACCACATGGCCTAATTGGACCATGGGAATAAGCTGAAAAATGGCTGTCCAACACCAAGGGGAAAATATTTCCTCACTGTTTTGAATCAGGAAGAACTCTGGTGATGTAATCATCTGCCCTGCCCTCATGACTGATTTCTCCTTTCAACTCCTTGTAAAATACAACATGATGTGGCCAACCTGGCCCTTTAAATAAAGGATACTTCAAACATTCCCTTTGATCTTTGAAACCTTGAATACAGAGAACTTGTAGCCCAACAACTGGTTTATCCTCAGCTTGTTTGGCTTTCCAGCTAAATCCTGACTGTTGAACTGGAGAAATTTCATCAGTCATGGCAAAAGTGAATAGATTTTTTACAGGAAGTTCTGGATATCTTATAACTGGAATATTGGTATTAGGGCTGTTTCCTACGAGCATTTGCAAAGTTTCTTTTTCAAAAGGCACTAGGGATGATCCCAGTCCATTTTTTCATAAATATCACGAACCAGGAGACTCCATACTTGGTGGTATAATTTCTCACAGCTTTGTAATTTCTAAGAAGATCACATTCAGAAGACATCCCCTTGAAGATTTCTTTGTTGAATTTATGTAAGGAGTTGGATGCTTTCGACATCTGTTGTATCTTTGTCCTGGTAATATCAGAAATGCTGGCAGTACAGTTTGCTTACTGTTTGGGGTGGGGGGAGAGGGACATAACAGGGCTTTTGAATAGATGGATGATAGATATACAGTAGATAGATGATAGACCAATTTGTTTTGTTTTGTTTTGGAGGGGACAGGAACATTTATCTAGATTTAAAAATGGTTAGCATTTTTAAATCTAGTAGTTCTATCATGAATTTCAGGAGAAAATTTATAAGATAAATTTGGTGGAAGTAGGATAAATTTTGGATTTATATTTTTAATATTTCGTTCTTTCCTTTCAAATTAGTAGTTAATATGTATCTAGAAATATTTCCAATGTTTTAAATATAACCTATGATGGTGACCAAGATCCAAGTTCTTAAAATTGCAACTGGCTCTCTCTCTGTAAACATATGTATTGATGTTATTTATTATTTTTCAAATTGAACTGCAGACCACTAACTCAGACTTACCAACACATCTTGGCTCTGGTATTTGCTGTAGAAGAGATTAATGGAAATCCCCAGATCTTGACCAATGACACCCTGGGCTTCAACATCTATAACAACTATTTTAATCCAAAACTGACATATGCAGCAACAATGGAAATTCTGTCCACACCGGGCAGATTCATCCCAAACTATAAATATGATTTCCAGAACAATCTGGTCGCGGTCATTGGAGGACCTAACTCAAATGATTTCCTTCACGTAGCAACCATCCTGAGTCAATACAAGATTGCACAGGTAGTTTCTGTTCATGAAAGGACATCCATTTCCTATAATTCGGGGTGAAATGCTCCTGGTTCAGACCGGATCACCCGATCTGATAGCGATGGCAGCGGGTGGTTTGGAGAACCGGTAGCAAAAATCCCTGCAACCCCCTCCCCCACCATGCCCAGCTGAGCTGCACGATCATCAGAGGCTTTTTTTTTTACTTTTAAAAGCATTTTTTCTACAACTTCTTCTGCCAAAAAAATGCTTTTAAAAGTAAAAAAAAAGCCTCTGATGATCACACAGCTCAGCTGGGATGTCAGAGGCTTTTCAAAGCATTTCGTTCTGCAACCTCTTCCGAGGAAGAGGTGGTTAAAAAAATGCTTTGAAAAGGTGTTAGGATATGGTTTGAGCCTAACAAGTTGTCCAGGCAATATATGTGTTCTGTGACTTTAATATGAATATGTATTGTGTGACTTTAAAGGTTTACTGCTGATCCATTGTAATGCTGAGTCATGCTGTAATTAGTGGTGAAAGGTACTGTAACGTATTCAGTTGATGATAAACTACCATAGTGTGTGGAGTTACTATCCATTGTGTTATCATCGTTGAATAGATCTGCTACCATTGTGGTTTGTGAACCAGAGTGAGTTTGTTATTCTAACCAACTACTGTTTGTGTGGTAAGAAGATTTTTGTATCACTAGACTGATTTAACTGGCAAAGACTTGGATTGATTTAAAGACTATGAGATTGTTTTTTCACTATAAAGTAAACTTTTGATAAACTAGTTTGCATATCTCTTATTCATTGCTCTCAGCAACGTTTCCTTGTGCATTTACTCTGCTGGTTGGTAACACAACACCAATATCCTTAACGTTGGTTATGGACCCAGAGCCAACCAGAACTAACAAGGATTGTTAGGAGCTAAACTGAGAGTTAATGTGAATAGTACAAACTGTGTTTCTGATATACAATCCAAGTGAAGATGGCACTAGAACAAGCAGCAAATTTTTCCATGATAACCCGGCTGGATGGAACAAACTATGTATCCTGGTCTACAAAATGTAATCTACTTCTGCGTAGAGAAGGACTGTGGGATATAGTTAATAATCCATCGGATGTAACAGCATGGAATCCTGCTGATGAGGAAGATGCGAAGAAAATAGCCAAGTACAACAGAGACAATGAACGAGCTCTTTGCATTATTGGACTAACACTGGGTGACCAGCAGCTTGTCCATATTCGTGGCGAAGAGTCTGCTGCTAGGTGTTGGACCAAGTTGAAGAGACTATATGTTCGTGTCTCTGTGGGTGCTCATATTTATCTCACATGGAGATTATTTAAACAACATTGTCTTAAAGGTGGAGATATGATGGCTCATTTGGAATCCATGACCAGAATTTTCCAGGAGCTGCATGAAAAGGAACTTGTTTTCTCAGAACTACAACAAGTTTATATAATTCTTTCTTCTTTGGACGATAGTTATGACGACTATGTTTCTTCGTTAGAGGTTTTGTCCAGAGATGAACTGACATTGGCTGGCATAACCGGTAGGTTATTGGAAGAATCCAAAAGAAGACAAGAAAGGGATCAGTTGAGAGTGCAACAACCAAAAGAAGAAAAAATGTACTTAACTGCCTATTTTGTAAAACGTTGCTTTGCTTGTGGGGCTAAAGGGCATATAGCTAAGTATTGTAAGAATAAGAAAATGTCTGTTAGGGACAATACTAGACCCAAGAAAGGTTGTAATTTACCTATATCCAGTTCAACTACTGATGTTAACCAGGATTGTTGGGTTGTTGACAGTGGTGCTTCTCAATCAATTTCAAGAGATAATTTTTTTTTGTTAAAATGGAGAAGAGTAACCAACAGTTTAAACTAGCAAATGGCTGGAAGGTTAAGGTAGCTGGAGAGAGTGTTGCTTGTTGGTCATTTATTAATGAACCATTGCCTATGTTATATATTCCTGGGTTAAAATTCAATTTATTATCTGTTAAATCATTATTGAAATTTGGGTTTACAGTAACATTTAAAAATGATAAATGTTTTATTGAGAAAGATGGCAAAATTGTTACTGCAAGTTTAGAGAATGATTTATTTATTTTAAGGGATAACCCAGTATTGGTGGCTAAATCTAAGTCTGTTTATAAGAATGTTAAACCACATGATGAATGTATTCATCTGTTACACCAGAGACTTGGGCATTTAAATTTCAGAATGTTAAAGGAAACAGTTCAATTATCTGAAAGGATAAAACTACAAGCATGTAGTAAATATCTGAATTGCAATGCCTGTAGTCAGCAAAAAAGTAGAGTAACACCAGCAAACCGTGTTCATGGTTTTAAAACCAAAAATCCATTAGAGGTAGTGTTTGTAGACCTAATTGGACCAAAAAATCCAGTATAGGAGGTGCCTGCTATATTCTGAGCATAGTAGACCATTATTCAAGATACGGATTCTGTTATCTAATGAAAACAAAAAGTGAAACATTCCAGCATATTAACAACTGGCTACGTTTTGTGGAAAGGAAACAGAAATTTAAGATTAAATGCTTAGTGACTGATAATGGTACAGAATTTACCAACCAAAGATTGGAAAAGTTTTTGCAAGATGCAGGGATTCAGCATAAACGGTTTGCGCCGTACAGACCACAGCCCAATTCGTATATCGAGAGAAGAGGTCAAACATTACAAGCCATGACTAGAACTATGTTGGCAGATTTTGGTTTGCCTGAAAATTTATGGGGTGAGGCTGTTATGTGTGCTAACCATGTGTTAAACAACATGGTTCATTCCTCTACAGGTGAAATACCATTCACCTTATGGCATGGGAGGAAACCAAATCCTAGTTACTTACACACATTTGGAGCCCCAGCTTGGGTACATATTCCATCTAGTTTAAGGAGAAAGGCTCAACAGAGAGCCAGAAAAATGTTTTTCATTGGCTATGAATCAAATCATAGGTCTTTTAGATTTTGGGCACAGGGAACTACTAGTGTTTACTGTAGTGCAAGTGCTAAATTTCTAGAGCACGAAGGATGGGATAAACTAGAGCGTGCAGATTATAGACATGATAATAATACTGTTAGTATAGAGCATCATATTCCTGATGATATTCCTGAGGATTTAGATGATGTAAAATCCTCTATCAAGGAGGAAGAACAGAAAGTAGGTTTAGAGGAGGTAGTTTTAGGGGAGGAGTCAGATGAACCATCTGCAGTAAGTCCTGTATTACCTAGGAGATCTACTAGGGAAAGGCATCCACCTGATCGATATAAAGCAATTGTAGTTTGCCAGGTTAACATTGAACCTTCAAGTTATGAGGTATCAAGCTTTATCCTGAAAAGGAGCAGAATGCTTGGAAGGAGGCAATGAGTAAGGAAATTAATTCTTTAACTAAGTTAGGTGTTTATGAAACTCTGAAATTGCCACCTGGTGAAAAATTAATAGGTTGTAGATGGGTTTACAAAATTAAGAAAAGCATAGATGGGACAGTAACCCATAAAGCTCGCCTTGTAGCTCAAGGTTTTTCTCAGACCGAAAAAGATTTTGATGAGGTTTTTCCTCCTAGTTTACGAGCTAGTACTTTAACAACAATGCTAGTGTGGGCGGCTAAGTATAAATATAGTATTAACCATATAGATGTAGAGACAGCATACTTGCATGCTCCATTGAGACACACCATCTATATGAGGAAGCCTTTAGGAGTTGAAACACAAAACCACACTGATTGTTGGAAGTTAAATAAAAGCCTTTATGGTTTGAGACAATCAGGATTTGAGTGGAACCAATGTATAGTTAAAGAGCTAAATAAGATCGGTTTTCATGAAGGTGTAGCGGATAAGTGTCTCTTTAAAAGAAAAAATAATGGGTTAATATCATTTTTGTTATTGTTTACAGATGATATAGCCATAATAACTAAAACTGACAAAGAAGCCATAGATATTGTTAAACAGTTACATACCAAATTTAAGATCAGAAATTTAGGAAATATTAGGCATTATTTGGGTCTAGATATCAATCAAACAGCTAGAGGTTATAAAATATCTCAATCTAGCAAAATAAGCCAAATGTTGAAACGTTATGGCATGGAGCTATGTAAGCCAGCTAAAATGCCTATGGCACAGGATTTTCAACAAGGAGAAATCCAAAGTCCTAAATTTAGTAAGGAGATCTACCAGTCTCTTATAGGTAGTCTACCTTATATAAGCAATTGGTCGAGACCTGATATTTCATTTGGAGTAAACCAATTAGCGAGATATAATACAGAGCCAACTGATAGGCATTGGCAGGCCGCAAAGCATATATTAAGATATCTGAAAATGACGATGCATTATGCATTGTAGCTAGAACCTAACAATGATTTAATATTAAGCGCATATGCTGATGCCAGTTTTGCTACTGATTTGACCACATCGGGTATAGCTATCATGTTAGACAATTGTTTGATTGGCTGGAAATCAATTCATCAAAAACATATTAATCTATCTGCTATGGAGGCAGAATTCTCAGGTTTGTCACTAGTTTGTACTGATCTGATTTATTACAAACAATTAATGATGGATATTGGTTTAAAGATGGATTATCCAATTGTAATACATGAGGACAACCAAGCTGCTATAAAAATGGCAACAAATTTAGCAGTTAAAACTAGATCTAAGTATACTGACATTCGGTATCTGAATGTTCGTCAGTGTATCCAAAGCAACATGGTTAAGTTGGAATATTGTATGTCGGAAGACAATATTGCTGATAATTTTACCAAAGTGCAAGGTGCTATAAGACATAAAACATGTTGTGAAAGCTATGGATTAAGAATCTAAACTGTATATATTGACCTGTCCAAAGGGGAGAATGTTAGGATATGGTTTGAGCCTAACAAGTTGTCCAGGCAATATATGTGTTCTGTGACTTTAATATGAATATGTATTGTGTGACTTTAAAGGTTTACTGCTGATTCATTGTAATGCTGAGTCATGCTGTAATTAGTTGTGAACGTATTTAAGAAAGATACTGTAACGTATTCAGTTGATGATAAGCTACCATAGTGTGTGGAGTTACTATCCATTGTGCTATCATCATTGAATGGATCTGCTACCATTGTGGTTTGTGAACCAGAGTGAGTTTGTTATTCTAACCAACTACTGTTTGTGTTAAGAAGATCTTTGTATCACTGGACTGATTTAACTGGCAAAGACTTGGATTGATTTAAAGACTATGAGATTGTTTTTTCACTGTAAAGTAAACTTTTGATAAACCAGTTTGCATATCTCTTATTCATTGCTCTCAGCAACGTTTCCTTGTGCATTTACTCTGCTGGTTGGTAACAGAACACCAATATCCTTAACAAAAGGCTCTGATGATCAGGCAACACAGTTGGGATCGTCAGAGCCTTTTCAAAGCATTTTTTTAATCACCTCTTCCCGGAAGAGGTTGCAGAAAAAAATGCTTTAAAAGTCTCTCTGACGATCCCAGCTGAGTTGCCTGATCGTCAGAGAGACTTTTAAAGCATTTTTTTCTGCAACCTCTTCAGTGGAAGAGGTTGTTAAAAATGCTTTGAAAAGGTTCTGATGATCCCAACTGTGTTCCTGATCGGCAGAGGCTTTTCAAGGCATTTTTTTTGCATTTGCAGAAAAAATGCTTTGAAAAGTTAAAAAAAAAAAAGTTGGCCATGCCCACCCAGTCACATTACTCCCCCCCACACACACACACACCAAGCCATGCCCACAGAACCGGTAGTAACAAATTTTACATTTCACCCCTGCTAAAATTCCTCAGATATGAAAGGCAAGAGTGTCGTTTCCAGAATTCTTGTTTGAACACTAATTAAACAAAAATTGTAAAAGGATTAAAAAAAACCTGAACATTTAAATATTTGAAATAAACCAATATGGAAATATATACTTAATTGTTTTTGAAATTGCAGTTACCTTTAGAACTTATATTGAACTCTGTTTCACCTTAATAATTAACTTAATTAAATATTCTACCTTTTTTTTTTTTTTTTAGTATTGGGAGGCTTCCATTTAACTGTTCATAAATTATATTATTATCAGGACTTTAAGTCAAAGGTAGGCAGTACTGTTCTATAAATGACAACATACTGAAGGTTTTACTACAATAACAAAGAAAAAAAAAGTCTGAATCATTATTCCCTCTCCAACAAATCCTTTTTCTATCTTTCTTCATTTATCTCTTCATTCTCTTAGCTTGCCTATTCTTCTGCTCCAGAGATAAATACACAAAATCAAGCCATTTCCTTCCATTGGATGTTTCCCAATGCAGATTATCAATATTATGGGATTCTTCAGCTGTTGCTTTATTTCAAGTGGACATGGATGGGCATATTTTATATTGGCATTGGCATCCAGGCAGAATTATTGCTCCGGAAAGTGTTACCTTTCTTTTCACAGCATGGCATCTGTTTTGATTTCATCGAAAAGTTTCCTAGTGGTATGTTCAATGATCTGGATATGATTGTGGAAGCATCCCGTGCTAAATTAAACCTCGCCTGGAACAGCAGAGCAAATGCAGTGATCTTTCATGGAGAGTTTCACAGTATAAGCTGTTTATGGGGTTTCCTCGAAATGTCAGAATATTATGACACGGCGGGGAAAAAAGCAAAAGTCTGGATCATGACAGCAGAGGTGGACTTTACATCCAACCTGTTTCAAAGAAACTGGGGCATAGATTTCCTCCATGGCGCTATATCCTTGGCAATCCAATCTAAGGAAGTGTCAGGATTTCAGAAATTTGTTCAGATGAGAAACCCTATTTTGCATAAAGCAGACGGTTTCTTAAAAGAGATCTGGCAGCAGCTTTTTAATTGCCTGATTCCAAGCTTTCCCACTGAGTCAGTGGAACAGAATATCTGCACTGGAGAGGAGAGGCTGGAGATTCTCCCTGCAACCATTTCTGAAACAAGGATGACCGCCCACAGTTACTGTGTCTATAACGCCATCTATGCTGTTGCATATGCTTTGCATGCCCTGTATTCATCCATAAGCAAGCACAGATCAAGGGTAACATGGAAAATTCTTAAACAACAGTCATGGAAGGTAAGTCTCCTTATCAGAGAATAGCAACAGCACTTAGACTTATATACCACTTTACAGTGCTTTACAGCCCTCTCTAGGCGGTTTCCAGAGTCAGCATCTTGTCCCCAACAATCTGGCTCCTCATTTTACCCACCTCAGAAGGATGGAAGGCTGAGTCAACCTTGAGCCTGGTGAGATTCGAACTGCCAAATTGCAGTCAGCTGGCAGTCAGTACTGCAGTACTGCAGTCTAATCACTGTGCCACTGTGGCTCTTACAGCGCAGGCTATTTCACTTTTTCCCCTCTCTGTCAATGCAAGAGTAACATCAATTTATTTTATTCAATTGATCCTCGTGAGATGTTTGGGACCAGAGGTTTTATTACCATGAAAAAGAATCAATGTTATCTACAAATTGGATGCTTATATGAACATCTGTGATCAAAGCATATTAACAGAGAAAAAGGCTGAGTGCAGCGGCCCCATATTGTATGTTCTGGGCCTTTTTACTTACCTATTTTGTTTTCATTTCTATAACTGTCCCAGGTTCCAGCTCTCATCTGGTGTGATGCCATTCCCATAAAAATCTATTCCAAAATGGATGTGAATTATTTTCCTATATTTGATTATTGGAACCATTTCTCCATAGCAATAACAATTAGACTTATATACACAGTGCTTTACAGCTCTCTCTAAGCAGTTTACAGAGTCAGCTTATTGCCCCCCAACAATCGGGGTCCTCCTTTTACTGACCTCAGAAGGATCGAAGGCTAAGTCAATCTTGTGCCGGTGAGACTCAAACTGCCAAACTGCTGGAAGCCAGCAATCAGTAGAAGTAGCCTGCAGTACTACATTCTAACCACAACATTGTTCTAATTTGTGGATAAACTAGTTATAGCTTCCAGCTATTATGATATCTCACTATATCTACATAAGATTGCATAACATTGCTCTCTCATGCTTTTTTAATTTTCAAAGATGATGAAAATCATACCAGATTCATTTTGATCCCAAACTATTACAATTAGATTTTTCAAGGTATTGTAAAAAAAAGAAATGGATTTAATATTTGTTTATGTCCTCCAAGAGTTACAGGTTTTCGATATATTAAGTCAGGTATTAAATTTACAGAAGATTGTTATATTTTCCCCCTAAGAAATAAATCTTTTATAATCTCTGGGAAATCTGCTTAAAGATTAAGCCTGCAAAACCTTACTAATCATTTACTATAGAATAAGAAGCTTTAAGATTCCAGACAATGATGCAATCTTACGTTGAGAGTTCTATAATTGTGCTGAGAATGATTTTTTTCATTATTATTTGATGACATTCATTATATCGTCACCAATATGATGAATGCCATCAAATGCCATCCTTTTGCAAAGCATCTACAATCAACCTCCACACCATGCTTTTAACTCCTTTCCAACTTTTTCCTCCTTGTTGTCTAGCTTCACCATTTCCTGAGAGGAGTTTCATTCAATAACAGTGCTGGAGACAAGATTTCCTTTGATGAAAATGGAGAATTTGTAGGAAGATTTGATATCATAAACTGGGTCACATTCCCAAACCAGTCCTTCCATAGAGTTAAGGTGGGAACCATAGATCCAGACCCACTCTCACATCACCTGCTGACCATTAGAGAGGATGAAATCATCTGGCCCACCTGGTTTAATCAGGTAAAATCCATATCATGTCCACATTGATTGATCACTTTGACCAATCTTCCAAGAAGGTTCATGGAAATCTACCAGAATTGCATTCTTGTTTTCTCAATTATTTTGGTCATAGCAAAAAAAAAAAAATGTCCAAGAACTGGGCAAATCAGACATGAGAATATGTATTTTCCCATGTTCAATCATGGGAGTTGTTAGGGAATCTGAGTTCTTCTAGGGATAGATTCAATATTCATGTACTACATGGGGGCGACTATAGGTAGATTGGTTGATAAATTCTACAGAGGACACAAACTGTACACTTATAGGGGTGGTCATTTATCAAGTGAGTAGAGCATACAATTAAAACAAAAGTAAGGATTTGATTGCCAGAGGTGTGTACCATTGGGAGCCAGGGATTATCACCACAAATATTCCTGGATTCTATGCAAGTATTATCCAAGATATTTTGTTGTGTTCTTATAATATGTTTCCCTATTCTAGAGTCATTCTGCTTGCAGATATATTTGTTAATTAACAAATTAACATAACAAATTAACATAACACTGTTTTGTTGCTTTTTCTTCCCCCACCTTTGAATAGTTTTATGCAACTTATATTAAAAGCTAAACAGTGATTTCAGAAAGGATATTGGTAAATCATATTTTCAAGATTCCTTTCCAAATATTCTCAGCATTCCCTGGATATTTCTGCTAAATTTCTGTTAAATGGTGAATTTTCTTATGGCAAGAACTTCAGTCCTTCTCTGAAAAAAAAAAATCAATGAAATTAGCTACCACCACATTTTGCCAAAATTGTAATGGGACAAGAATTCTGAGCACATATTGTTCTTCTTCTAATGTCAGTATTGCTGAAGTTCACCTATAGAAGGACACATCTTGCTGATCCTTTCCAGGCCAAACTATCCCAATTGCAGAAAACAGAAAAAAAGTAAGGAACAGTGTGGGAATGAGGTAGCCATGGTGTATGTGTAGACCAGTTTGGCTGGTTGGAACACATATGGGGAGCTTGGCTATGGAAGAAGAGTAAAATAGGAAAAGCGGGTTCATCTAGATGATCACTGAAAGGCCCTCTTCGTTCTCTCTTTGTTCATAATATTGTAGAACAGAAAGTGTGTAGCAATCCCTTTGAACTAACATTCCTGACAACTGAGGTAGATCTCTGATAATGGGGTCTCTCAGTTGGCAGGTGATGGGATGCTGGGAATGAAGCCAAATATGATAACATAGCAAGAGTTAAGTTTTGTTTCTGCCTTAAGTATTGCTTTCCTAGAATTCATGTGATTTACTGTAATATGGTAGGATGTGAAAGTTATGTCCAGATATGGAGAAAATCCTTTTAATCAAGAATGTAATATGAGAATGTATAGCTGTAATCCTGTCTTCTGATACGCCCAATACCCTTGCTTAATAAAAGAGAGGTCTGGAGTCAGCTTGAGGCTCTCTCATCCCGAGAAACACTTGTGCCTGTGTTTTCTCTAATCTGGACCTCTCATGGGGAGCCCGCAAGATGATCGCAACAACTGGTGACCCCGATGTGATAACCCTTGTGGCTATAAGTCTCTTGGAACTCCCATTCTCATCGCCTGGAAGAGGCTGTGCACCCCGATTTCACCTGAAACACGATAATCTTTTGTGAGTATGGGAGGAGGTCTTTCCAAGCAGAAGGCAGCATACCTGCAAGAGCTTGGCGAGATATCCAAGACCAATATTACTATTTTTAAAAATTTGATTTACCTTCTAAAATACATCTGGTGCCCGAAGCAGGGACACCCTCCGTGGGGAGCAGCATCCTTAACATCCTTATCATCATCTGGAATAGACCCCTGGCATGCCTTTCATCCTTCGGGATCCCTAGTGATAAGTGATGGGCTGCAATCTGTCTCAATATCAGTAAACGCATGTGCGGGAACTTAGATTCCTATTGCACAAGTCTGGCATGACGATGTGCAGACTGACAAAAAGAAACTGATAGTTGAGACAGGGAAACATTGTCCCTTTTATCCGGAACAGGGGACGCCTTGTTTGAGAGATATAATAAAGATAGGACAAGCCTTACATCTTGAACCTAAGGTTTCAGTGTAAATATTACATCAATGGTATTAATGTCATCAAGGAATAGAAAAATATGGCTCTGATGCTTTGGAAGGGCAATAATTAACTACAAGCCCTCCACCTGATTATAAAGTTAAAATTGTCACCTCAAACCATCTTTAATTGAACCATCAGCTCCTTCAGAAGGAGCTGGTTACACCCCCATTAGGCAGAATTTAAAGAAACAGTTAGACAAAAAAAGGGGGGTGTGGAATATAGAAGAAATTCCTGAAATGCTTTCTGTCTGTCTACCGGCTGCAACTTTGCAAGCTTCTTCTGAATGTGCTTATCAAGCCTTCAGAAAAGTGCCTGTTTCTGGCAAGCGTCAACAAGCCTTCTCTAACATCAGGAAAAAAGCTAAAGAGAATGCCACTTCTGAATGCCGAAGAGCAATTGTTGGGCTAGGAAAAGATCTTGATTTGGCAGATATGATTAAAGTGTGTCAGGATATAGGAACATTGTATAAAACCAATTTGTTAGCACTGCTTTATCACCAGGCAGAAAATCTCAAGGAAAGTGTTACAATTGTGGAAAACCTGGTTATTTTAAAAGAAAATGTAAAAATCCAAGGGGGGGGGCATGTCTGTAACATCTCGCCCTCAAAACCCTGGTATATCATCGTTTGGATGACATTTTAATTGGAGTGCAAAAACTACAATCTAATTGGCTTTTTGAAATACAAAATGATTTATGTGTATATGAATTGCAAATTGCCCCAGAAAAAATACAGCTGCACGCTCCTTATCTGTATTTAGGGCATAAACTATTGCAATCTTTTTCTGCTCCGGCTTTTCCTCATTTAAAGTTACCCAAAGTTATTTCCTTAGTAAATTTGCAACAATTTCTGGGTACTATTAATTGGGTCCGCCCATATTTTTCTTTACCTACGCATTTACTTAGTCCATTATTTGAGTTATTGACTGAAGGAAAAAAGCCAGGAGATTTAATTATAGTTCCATCTGTAGTGTTTGCTACAGTTGAGAAAATTAATAACATCTTGAGTATTCAGTTTGTGGATTGAATCCCTCATAGAGATTGTCAGTTATCTTTGTTAAGATTTCCTACTAGTAAACGGCCCACAGGAGTATTGTATGCTTTAGAACAGCAAAAAGTATATTGTATTGAATGGCTTTATTTGCCCCATCACCATCTAAAAATGTTTTACCCTTTATTCAAGCCATGGCTGAACTTATAACCTTGGGGCGTACTCGAGCCTGTCGAAGAAATGGAACTGATTTAATAAATATTGTTCTTTCTATCTCAAAATCTGACTTTCACTTTTATTTTCAGAATAATTTATCTCTTCAGTGTGCTCTAACTGACTATGTAGGCTGTATTTCATATCATCTGCCTAAAGATCCTAGGTTTGCTTGCTTAATGACTTCCTCCTTTCCTATTCGCTCATTACTTTCTTCTTCTCCACTACCGCAAGCTTTTATGTTTTTTCTGATGGAGGACGAATGAGAGGAGCCATTGCTTACAAGGATTCTCATGACGACATCTGGAAAGAATCTTAATTGTCTGCGGCTATCTTAGCTTTCCACACTTTTTCTCAACAACCTTTTAATCTGATCTCTGACTCTCAGTATGTGTGTCAATTTATTTTTAATCTTCCAGGTGCTTATATCACGCCCAGGATTGACTCCAACCTTATGGCTTTATTTCTCACTTTACAGCAACTTCTACAAGACCGGAAGCATTTATGCTGCTGTTCATGTTTTACCTACTTTATTTACAGATCCATTTTTTGGCCATTCTTTTTTCCATCAAAATGCCAGAGGGCTGGCATAAGCTTGCCATATTCCACTAGAGCAAGCTAAGCAAATAGTTTCATCCTGTCCCCAATGCTCTGGGGCATCCCCGTCAGGAGACACGGGAGTTAATCCCAGTGGTCTCACCTCTAATCAATCATGGCAAATGGATGTGACTCAATACCTTTCCTTTGCCCCATGGAAATATTTGCACGTTTCCGTGGATACTTATTCAGGATTCATCATGGCATCCCCACAAAGGGGAGAAGCAACCAAACATGTAATAAATCATTGTATTCGGACTTTTGCATTGATGGGACGCCCAATTGAACTTAAAACTGACAATGGACCTGCGTACACCAGTACTGCCTTTGCAGACTTTTGTAACAAGTGGTCCATCACACACAAATTTGCTTACCCTACAATTCTCAAGGCCAGGCAATTGCAGAACGGGCTAATCAGACCCTCAAAAATGCCCTGGATAAATTGAAAGAGGAAAAATGCCTCGGCCTCCCAGCCATGCAAAACAAACTCAATCTTTGCTTATATACTTTGAACTTTCTTAACCTGACTGGACAGCCTCCCACATCGGCTGCAACCCGTCATTTTTCTGCTTCACCATCAGCTACCCCAAAACCGAAGCTCTATTTCCGCCAACCACCCAATCCTGCATGGAAAGGGCCCGCTGACCTTATTACCTGGGGCCGTGGATATGCTGCTGTCCAGTACAACAATCAGACCATCTGGATCCCTGGAAGACATGTAAGACCATTCCATTTACAACAAAAAGAAGGAGAAACCAGTCACGATCTTGCATCTATTGCCCATACATCTCATGATCCTTCATGTCAGCAGCCTCTACATTCAATCATAATGGGACAGTAATAAAAGACATTCAAATAGCTGCTAATCGGACAAACTCCACTACTCCTATTTCTCAAACCACACCCACCACTGACACTGGGTGGCTCATTAAAAACTCAGACATCCAGAGGCATCTTGCCCAATCTCGGGGTGGCAATGAACTATTGGGATCTTTATTTATTAAATAACTGGACAGTACATATGTTCAACGAGACTATCAAGGTGCTGAAGCTGATGAACAAAGAACTGGCTGAAATCAGGGAGGTGGTCTTACAAAACCAATATGCCTTAGATATTATGCTAGTAGCTAAAGGAGGCATTTGTGCCTCATACATTGTGGTACCTATGTATCTGATTATCAGTATAACATCACTCACACCATAGAACATATGGAAAACATGATCAAAAACAATCCCTTATCATCCGATGGATCTGGCGCCATTGACATCTGGGCTGCCCTTTGGTCATGGCTCCCGGATGGTTCTTGGTTGAAATCAATTATGCCAACTGTTGTATCTATAATCGTACTGCTTGTTTTGCTTTGTTGCTGTATCCAATGTCTCCCCTCCCTTCTGCAAATGTGCAAAGGTTTTATTCCCTCCAATAGGAAGGACGTCCTGATAAGTGAAACCAAAGCCCTTCTGGAACTGGAGGAAGCCAATCTCAACAAAGCAGAAAAGGGAGGAACATGTATATTTTTAGGTGAAGATTGTTGTTTCTACATGAACAAATCAGGTGTGGTCAGAGAAGGTGCTCGGGACTTACAGGATAGGGCTTCCAGAATAACTCAGAGGTTACAAACTTCTGACATGTGGTTTTCTTGGGTGCCTGGATCCGGATGGATTAAACAAATTTTTCTTCATATGTGCAATAGCTGGCTTAGTATTCATCCCATGTGTGATAACAATCCTTAGATGTATAACCATTTATATACCTTTATCATTGCTTTGCTTGTTTCTGTATGTTGCAGTATCCAATGTATTCCTGCTTTATTTGCTATGATGACAAACATATTTGCCAAACATAAAGAAAACATCATAATAACAACACAGCTGAACCCTGTTGTAAAAAACAAAAACAGAGGAAATGTGGGAATGAGGTAGCCATGGGGTATGTGTAGACCAGTTTGGCTGGTTGGAACACATATGCGGAGCTTGGCTATGGAAGAAGAGTAAAGTAGGAAAAGCGGGTTCATCTAGATGATCACTGAAAGGCCCTCTTCGTTCTCTCTTTGTTCATAATATTGTAGAACAGAAAGTGCGTAGCAATCCCTTTGAACTAACATTCCTGACAACTGAGGTAGATCTCTGATAACGGGGCCTCTCAGTTGGCAGGTGATGGGATGCTGGGAACGAAGCCAAATATGATAACATAGCAAGAGTTAAGTTTAATCAAGAATGTAATATGAGAATGTATAGCTGTAATCCTGTCTTCTGATACGCCCAATACCCTTGCTTAATAAAAGAGAGGTCTGGAGTCAGCTCGAGGCTCTCTCATCCCGAGAAACACTTGTGCCTGTGTTTTCTCTAATCTGGACCTCTCATGGGGAGCCCGCCAAATGATTGCAACAGAACAGCAAGTAAATTGGGGTAAAAAAAATTAAGGCGGAAAGTTCATTGTTAAATTTACTTTCACATACCTGATATTAAAAAATTCTTCTACCAAGCAACAGTTTTAATAGGGTTAAATATATTATTTTGTTTGCTTTGGTCAGAGGTCTCTCACATGTGGCCCTTTTGATTTCTTAGCTTCAATTTTCTTCGGAACCAGAGGCAACCACAGAATCCAGAAATCTACCCTTGCAACAATAAAAGCTTAAGAATTTGTTTCTGAGTGCCATTTCAGTCAAGTCAGGAAGGATAGAAAGATGCTGTTCACCACCGCAACCTCAAAATGTTGCAATGACAATCTGTGAAATTTCTTTTCAAAAACATTAACATATTTTATTTTCTTCATGGGCAGGTATCACCTGTCTCCCTGTGTAATGATAACTGCCCTTCAGGTTACCAAAAGGCCAAAATAGAAGGAAAACCATTTTGCTGCTATGACTGCCTTCCATGTTCACAGGGAGAGATCACAAATCAAACAGGTAAGAGATGTTACAAAAAAAACCTAGATGTCTTTCATCATCATTTAGTTATTGCACTCAATTTCTCAAGCATGCATAACTTTTCCCACTTGTATACCCTATTTTTGTGAACCAGCAAGCACCAGCATTCATCTATTCTCTGGCTCCTTTTTTTTTCAAGTTGCCCACACTGATTTTTCTCCTAGGCCCCTCCTTTCTCAGTTACTGGCACCCAGCTTTCTCGTTTCCTGCCCAGCCACCAGGGGTGGGTTCTACTTACTTTTACTACCAGCTCGCAATGGGGCCATGCACATGCACAGAAGCTTCCTGACGACATGGGGGTCAGGGGACGGAGTTATATAACAAATATAACAAATTCTGTTTGAGATCTTTTAGTCCAATGCCCTGCTCAGGCAGGAAAATGTACACCATTTCTGACAAATAGTTGTCCAATCTCATCTCAAAAACTTCCAGTCAGGGGTGGGTTCTAATTTTTTTTACTACCGGTTCTGTGGGTGTGGCTATTTTGTGGACGTGGCTTGGTGGGTGGGGGTAATGTGACTGGGTGGGCATGGCCAACTTTTTTTTTTTTTTACTTTTAAAAGCATTTTTTTCTACAACCTTAAGAGGTTGCAGAAAACAATGCTTTGAAAAGCCTCTACCGATCAGGCAACTCAGTTGAGGCTTTTCAAAGCATTTTTTTTACCACCTCTTCACCAAAGAGGTTGCAGAAAAAATGCTTTGAAAAGCCTCAGCCGATCCCAGCTGAGCTGTGGGATCATCAGAGGCTTTTTTCTTTTTTTCTTTTATTTTTAAAAGCATTTTTTTGGCCGAAGAGGTTGTAGAAAAAATGCTTTTAAAAGTAAAAAAAAAAAAAAAAAGCCTCTGATGAGGTGGGGTAAGAGAGCGGCGACCGAGCCGGGGACTGGTTTGAGGGTGTGGCCAGCCAAAGTTATTACCAGTTCTCCGAACTACTACAAATTTTTACTACCGATTCTTGTGAACCGGTGCGAACCGGGAGCAACCTACCACTGCTTCCAGTGTTGGAGCACCCACAACTTCTGGAGGCAAATCAGGTTCCACTGATTAATTATTGTAACTGTTAGGAAATTTCTCCTTAGTTTAAGATCTTCTCCTTGATTAGTTTCCATTCATTGCTTCTTGTCCTGCCTTCAGGTGCTTTGGAGAATAGGTTGATTCCTTCTTCTTTGTGGCAACTCCTTACATTTTGGAACACTGCTATCATGGGACACTTCTTTTCATTAAACTATACATACCCAATTCCTCAACCACTCTTCATATGTTTTACCCTTTCTTGCTCCTTTCTGCACTCAACATCTTTTTTTTTTTTTTTTAATATCATGGCAACCAAACATGGATGCAATATTCCAAATGTTGTCTTAAAAGACATTATATAGTGGTATTAACACTTCACATGACCTTTATTTATTTATTTGTTTAAATTTCTATACCGCCCTTCTCCAATGTAGGACTCAGGGCGGTGAACAGCCAAAGTAAAAACAAGACATACATACAAAACATACAAAATCTAAAAACTGTTTAAAATAATTAAATAATTTTGGCCATAATTAAAACATTCCAATTTAAAATCCGTTTAAAATTTGACTCAAGCCAGCCCAGCTAGTTGAAATAAATGGGTTTTTAGGGCCCGACGAAAAATCCGGAGGTCTGTTATTGTATGTAGCTCTGGGGGGAGGTTGTTCCAGAGGGCGGGCGCCGCCACAGAGAAGGCTCTCCCCCTGGGGGTCACCAGCCGACATTGTCTGGCGGACGGCACCCTGAGGAGGCCCACTCTGTGGGAGCGTACTGGCCGGTGGGAGGCTATTGGTGGCAGAAGGCGGTCTCGTAAGTACCCCGGCCCTAAGCCATGGAGCGCTTTAAAGGTGGTCACCAACACCTTGAAGCGCACCCGGAAGACCACCGGGAGCCAGTGCAGCTCGCGCAGGAGAGGTGTCACGTGGGAGCGCCTCGTCGCCCCCAAAATCCCCCGCGCGGCCGCGTTCTGGACCAGCTGGAGCCTCCGGGTGCACCCCGGGGGGAGCCCCATGTAGAGAGCGTTGCAGTAGTCCAGGCGGGAAATGACGAGTGCCTGAGTGACTGTGCGTAGGGAGTCCTGATCTAGAAAGGGGCGCAACTGGCGTATCAGGCGGACCTGATAAAAAGCCCCCCTGGCCACGGCCGCCAAATGATCTTCTAACGACAGCCGTGCATCCAGGAGGACGCCCAAGTTACGAGCCCTCTCCGTGGGGGCGAGTGATTCGCCCCCAATAGCCAGCGATGGCGTCAGCTGGCTATATCGGGACGCCGGAAGCCACAGCCACTCGGTCTTGGAGGGGTTGAGTTGGAGCCTGTTTCTCCCCATCCAGGCCCGCACGGCCTCCAGGCACTGGGACATCACTTTAAGGGCATCATTGGGGTGGCCTGGGGTGGAGATGTACAGCTGGGTGTCATCAGCGTACTGATGGAACTCCACCCCGAAGCCACGGATGATCTCACCCAGCGGCTTTACATAAATGTTGAACAGAAGGGGCGAGAGGACCGATCCTTGTGGCACCCCACAAGCAAGGTGCCTCGGGGTCGACTGCTGCCCCCCTGTCAACACAGATTGCGACCGGTCAGAGAGGTAGGAGGAGAACCACCGCAAAACGGTGCCTCCCACCTTGACTCTATCTCTCTATAAACCTGTGGGGGATAGGCAGAGAGAGTTGGCCTCTGGACCAGAGTGAATGGATTTGCATTTGGATGGGATACTCACTTAATGACCCAAGATTCTCAATTGACAATTGCAACATGCAGGGATAGAATTGTGATCACTGAGCAATGCGGTCAGACGAAGTCTCACTTTACAACCACCTCACTTAGAGACTGAAATCTTATAAACTGTTGTCATAAACTAACCATCCATTTGTGCTCATAGTTACTGTATATAGCTATAAAATGGAATTTAGTCAGCAGAAATACAAACAGAGACTATGCTATTACTGACATTATGTTTACATTTGTATGCCACTCAACTCTCTGCCTTGCTGCAACTTATTTGACTTAACATACATTTCCAATATATGTTTTTATATCCTGATTCTCAGATTGCTGGCCTCTCATCTCTTGATTTCCTACTTATTTTTGTTTTAACAGATATGCACACATGCTTCCAATGTCCAGATGATCAGTATCCAAACAATAAGCAGGATTTCTGCCTTTCCAAGGAAATGACATACCTCTCTTATGAAGGAACATTAGGAAGCAGTTTGGTGACAGTGGCCATTATCCTTTCTTTCACCACAATTTTTGTACTAGGATTGTTCCTGAAGTACCACAACACACCTATCGTTAAGGCCAACAACCGCAGCCTCTCCTACACCCTCCTCATCTCCCTCCTCCTCTCCTTCCTTTGTTCTCTGCTTTTTATTGGTCAACCCATGAAGATCACTTGTCTCCTTCGACAAACTGCTTTTGGGATCATCTTCTCAGTGGCTGTTTCTTGTATGCTGGCCAAAACCATTACCGTAGTTCTTGCTTTCATGGCCACTAAGCCTGGATCACGGATGAGGACATGGGTTGGGAAAAAATTAACTTTTTCCATTGTTCTTTGTTGTACTTTTATGCAAACTCTTCTTTGCATTGTGTGGCTTGGAATTTCTCCCCCTTTCCCAGACTTGGATAAGCACTCCTTCATTTCTGAAATTGTTGTCGAATGCAATGAGGGGTCAGTTGTCATGTTTTATAGTGTCTTGTCTTTTATGGGTTTCCTGGCTATTATCAGTTTTGTTGTAGCTTTCCTAGCTAGGAAGTTACCAGACACTTTCCAGGAAACCAAATCCATCACATTCAGCATGCTGGTTTTCTGCAGTGTGTGGTTATCATTTGTCCCTGCGTACATTAGCACCAAAGGGAAATACACAGTGGCTGTGGAGATTTTCTCCATCTTGGCCTCCAGTGCTGGACTCCTGTCTTGTGTCTTTTTCCCAAAATGTTACATTATTATAGTGAGACCTGATCTTAACAAACGAGAGCAGTTAATAAAAAGAGGAAATTGACCAACCACTTGTCTGAAATGGTATAGGTTCTCATGCTTGAGAAGGGGGTTGGATACCAGGTTCATATTATTTTTTTTTTATTGCAAAAGTTTTACAATTACATTTTCACCCCTTTTTTTTCACCCCCCCACCTCCCTCCCCAAACTTCCCGTAGCCCTCCCTAACCCTCCCCCCCACCAGGTTCATATTATTATATGTGGTGGACATGCTCAAAGGCAAAAAAATATTGGACTAAAATACATACTTGGTTACAAAAAACAATAAAGCAACATATAGATTTGAAACCAGAAATATTCTAGTTGGGTATATTAACAGAATAGTATAACAAAGGGAAAATATACTTAATTTTACATGTATTAACAGTAGCAAGAATTGTGTTTGCACAACAATGGAAAAATGAAGAGATGAAAGTGTTATAAAAAAAAAAAGAAAATGGAATGTGATGAGATGGATAGATTAACATTTAAAAGAAAAGAAAAGAAACAGAATACTTTTCAACATGGGACTTGTTTTACCAATGGTTAATTAACAGAAATAGAAATTAGAATCTAAAAAGACTAAAAAAATAAACAAAAAATTGTATTGAAAATTTTGTAAGATGGATAAACGAATTGTATTACTATTTTGCAACTATTACTGATATGTTAATTATGATTAGTATAAGTTTAAGGTCTTAAAGTTTAAGACTTAAACCTGGCTGAGAGAAAAATACACATAAAAACCTACGAAAAGAGAATAAAATAAATATTTGACTGTTACAGGGAGGAGTCATGAGATGAGGGTGTGGCTAACTGAAGAAGACAAACTAGTCAGAAATAGATCTATCTTAGTCTCCCTTAAGTCTCACAACAGGCAGCAAAATGCTGCTTTGATGTCTGATAAAGCCTAGAAACTAGTGAATGAGATTTCACTGAACTATGGCTGTAGAAACATCTTGTCACACACACACACACACACACATATATATATGGTGCTAATCTATAAAGCCCTACATGGCTTAGGCACGGGGTACTTGCAGAACCATCTTCTGCCATCCTCCCATTGTCCCGTGCACTCTCACAGAGCGGGCTTCCTCAGGGTGCCGTCAGTCAAACAATGTTGGCTGGAGGCCCCCAGAGGGAGAGCGTTCTCTGTGGGAGCGCCGACTCTCTGGAACGGTTTGCCCACCGAGCTTAGGACAACCCCCGACCTCCTCTCCTTCCACCGTGAACTGAAGACATGGCTTTTTCATCAAATGGACTGATCCGTGATGGGGGTTTTACATTGTAATAATTTTAATTAATTTTAATTGGATTTTAATTTATACTTGATGCATATTGTTGAATTTTTATCTTGTAAGCCGCCCTGAGTCCTTCAGGAGAAGGGCGGCATATAAATCGCAATAAAATAAAATAAATAAAAATAAATATTTTAAATGCAGACCTAGAGAATTCCTTTTCCCTCAATGTGGCCCAGGCAAGTCAAAAGGTTGGGCAACTATGTTTTAAATCATATTGGATTCTGGAGACAGATAGCTGGGTATCCTCAGCATATTGGTGATACCTCAGCCTGTGGTGATGGATGATCCCCCGATTAGAAAGGTTGGTTTTGCAAATTGCATTCTGCCAAATTGTAGGTTATTTTATGGTCCTGGGTTACAAGTAAAACAGGCAATATGATTTGTTCAGCCACAGGTAGCCTCGCAAGCAACAGGGTCAATTAAAATGACTGATTGATATAAAAAGTAGGCTGAAACAATGGCAGAGAAAACTTGACATTCAGGGGGATATTGTTTCCAAACACACAATTTCACATATAATTCTTAATGTCTTATAAAAGGGTAGGGGAGTATTCCATTATTTAGGATAAGAAATGTTAGACATTCCAATCTAGTAGTAAATTATTATAGTCAATTATAAAGAATGTTCATATATTCCCTCAATAAAACCTGATATGACAATGACTGGAACATAGTACACTGATATTTCCATAAGACCTTAGCTTAGAGTTCAGAAAAGTCAAGATCTGGTTATATTTCTTTATCATGGAACCATGAAAATTGTTTCAATAAAATACCAATCCAGCATTGTCTAATACTGAAGAGATAAACAGGGATGAATGTTTTTAGAACTGGAATCAGAAACCCCAGTTCTGTAGAATAGAATTGAAGGTTGAAAACATCTCATATTGGACCTGGTTTTTACTTCTAAAGAACCCTGGAATCCTCTTCCCTCTATAGAACTTCTTTCTAATGGGAAAAAAAATATTTCCACACTACAAGCATGCTGCTTCAAATAATTCAGTTGCTGCTATTGCAGGACTTCATGCCAACTCATCCTTTCCCAACACAACCATACAGTCTCTCTATAAGACAGCTATAAGAGTTTCAATGTATGAATGGCAGGTAACTAAAAGAGTTGAAAAGTTACATCATAATTTATTTATTTATTTATTTATTATCTTTAGGGAACATGGTGGCTCAGTGGCTAAAACGCTGAGCTTATTGATTGAAAGGTCAGCAATTCAGTGGTTTGAATCCCTAGTGCCACATAATGGGGTGAGCTCCCATTACGGAGATGTTTTTCAGACAGTGCTAGCTCTTCGGCTTTGAAACAGAGATGAGCACCGCCCCCTAAAGTCGGGAATGACTAGCACATAGGTGCGCGGGAAACCTTTACCTTTTTTTTTAATAATTTTTTTTATTATTTTTAAAACAAAAACATAAAACACATCTTTTCAAAACGAAGCTTTTGCTCTGGTCACATATTAAAGCAAATCATTAACAAATCTTATTTTTCAATTAACACAACTAAATATTTTAAACAAGTATTTCCCTCAAATCTGTTTATGTAACTATGCCATTATCCCCAAAAACCCGTTAAATCTTAAATCCTAACCAATTATCAATCCATTTTTCTCTTTCATTTACTTAGATGGATATATTTTAACAATATAAATCATACAATTATATTAAACATTCCAAAAATATTTAATTTCAACATGCCCATTTTATTTCTATATTAAACTCCAAATTTGTACTCTTTATTTCTATTATTAAACCTAACTTATTCAATTTATCTTAACTATCACTCTCAACAAACACCTCCTCACTTTAATTATCCCACCTTATTTTATATTTTCCTAAAAAAAAAAAAAAAAAAAAAGAACCCCAGTGTTATTGTCTTTATCTTTGTTGTTAACCAATCATTTTCATTTCTTAACTGTTAAACACAGCATACATTTGTTTTGGCTGTTGAACACAGCATATCCTTTTTTATTTTTTTTTTGGCTGTTACACAGCATGCCCTTTCTTATTTGCCTGTTAAACACAGCATATTCATTTTTGGTTTTTTTGGCCGTTACACTGCATATTCAGTTTGTTTTGGCTGTTGCACAGCATAATCATTTTGTTTGGCTGTTCAGCACAGCATATTATAAGTTTTTGGCTCTTAAACACAGCATATTCATAGTTGGTTTAACTATCAATCTCTACTTTAACCTTTCTTTATTGTTTCCATCCATCTATGCATTGCATTTTCACATAATCTTATGAATCTTATAATCTTTTTCATGACATTCATGACATTTTAACATTAAGACATGGTACTTGCTTAAAACATATCTTTAAGTGTATTTATAAATTCCTTTTAACATTTTCAATTAATCATATTTATCCTTATTCTTTTCCTTAACATTTTGACATTAAAACATTGTTCTTGCATCAAGCATATCTTTACATGTATTAATTAATTTCTTTTAATATTCTTAAATTCTATAAAAACCTCCCTTTTATTATTACAGTCCATCTTTACTTTATTTTATTTTTAATCACATTATCTTCATTTCCTCGCCTGCAAACTTATATTTCCTTCCATTTTCCAAGTTTTTAGTTTTGTTCTCCATGAATCTTTTCTTATTTTTTTTCCGGATATGATATATCAAATATTTTTCTTTTGAGGCTGCACTTAATCCTTCTTCTATTCCTGTGCCAGCATTTAAATTATTATTATTTCAATTGTAGGAGTTCCATTGTAAATTTCTTTTCTTTTCACCATAATCAAACCGCCTGCATACAAAAAAAATCCTCCTCCACAGAGATCAGTAATTTTGTCTGTAAAGTTCAGTTTCCCATAACAAAGGGAAGTTACAAAGTTCCTCTTTACGCCAGATGGTGTCTCTCTATAATCCACATTTTCCATTAGTCATGCAAGACTCCATTTTATTTATTATTATATAACCATCCAATTTATTTCTTCTTGCCCAGTTGTCACAGTTTTGTGGCAGCCGCCATGGCTGCCGCCCCCTGCCACCGACTCACAGAGGGTCCCCTCTGACCTCCGAGGAACTTGCCTGTTCCTCTCGGTCATCCGAGGCACCCCTCTTCTCCCCCATCCCTGGAAGACGGGTTTGGTCCGAAGATCCATCGGCAGTGATTCGGCAGCCATGGCGGGACTCACCTGCAATTTCCCTGACTGTTTCACCGCAACACCAAACCGGAAGCCACCTTTTTAATTCTCTTAATTTCAAAGAGAGTTGTGTCAGTTTTTGAAAAAATAAATTACCTTCTTGCATAAAAGAAAGAAAGAAAAAAATCCTTATGGTTCATTTGTATGACAGAAAGGATTATCTGAATTTTCAGACTCCAGTTTGTTCAGAGGAATTTCCAGCTTACCAATAAATATAACTTCCATTACTGAAACTCATTGATACATCCTGTATATCACAGAAATGTACACACATGAATGTATATACATTCATATACACACATACACGACACACTCATCAATATGAAAGGAATAAACTAACGTTAAAACATTGGGATATATGTTTATTGAGACTTATTTTATAGATGAATACAACTATAGACAAATGCAACTTTTAAATAAGGAAATAATTAAGACATCCTTTCATTCATTGATCATTATGATACAGAATCTCTTCATTTTGCTTGCACTCCCCTCCAAAGCTTTTAGGCTGTGGACCTATGAAGACCTAGAAATACATTCCAGCAATGAGGGTTTGACATAGCTCTTCAGGTTGAGCAAGATATATTATGTAAATT